GCGAAAATAAAAGTGCGCCACGTTAGGGGCCGCGCCACGTTAGGGTACATCAACAATACCTGGTTCTTGATTAGATCTTCTAAATACTCCGCAGGGCAGGGGAGTTTTAACAGGAGGCCAGAAACACCGGGGCAAACCCCTTCGCTTAGCCTTAGGCGATAAGTGTTGTGGGTTCTTTTATGTGCATTGCAGGGTGACTGCTCTATGTTCCGACACTCCTATGTTCCGACAACCTAGATTGTGTTACTCCCGGTTAGGGTTAGGGTTAGGAATAGGAATACGTGCAGTCGGAACATAGGGGTGTCGGAACATAGAGGTGTAACCCATTGCAGTACACAACACACGGGATTGGCCATCCAAAGGACAAAGCAATAATGGTATAAGTGCCTTGCTTAAGAGCACAAGTGCCCAGACCCGGGCTCGAACCCACATTCTGCTACCTCTGCAACACCAGAGCATGAGTCCGGTGCGCGTGCGGTGCTCTTAACCGCCAGGTCATGTCATTTCTGAAAAATTCACAAATTCTGATACTGATAGGGCCTAAACACTAAACCAATATCTTGCTCTATGTTTACACTCCATTATATCCAAAATATGGATATGGGTGGGTGGGTGGGTGGGTGGGTGGGTGTGTGTGTGTCCGGACAAATCTTGTCAGCGCGATAACTTGAGAAATACTTTACATATGAACTTCAAATTTGGTTTGTGGATTGTCCTTGGCAATTCTAAGAAGCCTTTTGCATTTGGGCCAAAAGGTCAAGGGTCAAGGTCACAGTGGCTGAAACAATAGAAATTTTGTCAGCGCGATAACTTGAGAAATACTTTACATATGAACTTCAAATTTGGTTTGTGGATTGTCCTTGGCAATTCTAAGAAGCCTTTTGCATTTGGGGCCAAAAGGTCAAGGGTCAAGGTCACAGTGGCTGAAACAATAGAAATTTTGTCAGCGCGATCACTTGAGAAATACTTTACATATGAACTTCAAATTTGATTTGTGGATTGTCCTTGGTAATCCTAAGAAGCCTTTTGCATTTGGGGCCGAAAGGTCAAGGGTCAAGGTCACAGTGGCTGAAACAATAGAAATTTTGTCAGCGCGATAACTTGAGAAATACTTTACATATGAACTTCAAATTTGGTTTGTGGATTGTCCTTGGCAATTCTAAGAAGCCTTTTGCATTTGGGGCCAAAAGGTCAAGGGTCAAGGTCACAGTGGCTGAAACAATAGAAATTTTGTCAGCGCGATAACTTGAGAAATACTTTACATATGAACTTCAAATTTGGTTTGTGGATTGTCCTTGGCAATTCTAAGAAGCCTTTTGCACTTGGGGCCAAAAGGTCAAGGGTCAAGGTCACAGTGGCAAAAACAAAAGAAATTTTGTCAGCGTGATAACTTGAGATATACTTTACATATGAATTTCAAATTTGGTTTGTGGATTGTCCTTGGCAATCCTAAGAAGCCTATCGCATTGGGGGTCGAAAGGTCAAGGGTCAAGGTCACAGTGGCTAAAACAATAGAAATCTTGTATTTATTCTGAGATCATAGGGATTAGGGATTAATTCATATAAAACCTACAGAAGACACTGATGCTGTCAATGAACGTTCCATTTGACCAAGGTACATGTAAGTTGATGTTAGAGTGGTGTTATGTCATGGAAACAGTCACGGTTGCGGGGCATTTGTGTTTGTAAACACACCTGACTTGTTTTTTTTTGTTTTTACTCATTACAGAGAGCAATATTCCCAGCCATGGCTCGGCTGAAAGTGAGATTCCCCACGCGAAAAGTGAAATTAAGGCCAACTCAAAAGAGTGAGGAAGAAGACGCATCTTTTGAAATAACCGTCTTTTATTGTTTTCTTCAAAATGATAGCATTCCAGATATGTTTTTAACAGGAAGTTTCGTCCCGTTACTATCTTTAAGGCGAGGCGTCATAAATAAATTAACCGTTCGAACGCGTGCGCACGCTAGGAACGGGGCCTTTTGTTACATCTACCTCCCGTTCGCACGCGTGCTCACGGCATCCCGTTCCGAACGCGTTCTTATACAACAAAAGGCCAGTCACGGTCTGTGCACACACGAAGAGCTCATCGGCACTTAAAGTATCCGACAAACTTTCTCGTCGCTACAGGCTAGCCCGTACAGTACAGGGGGGGACGTATAAAATACGGGCACCTTGAACGGGGAAAGCAGTCCTTTGCAAACTTTACTATCAGTATGTAAAAACCTTGAATATTCGATTTATAATTCGCTGATCGTGTGTACAAGGCCAGTTTATAACATCAGTCAGCAAACTTCTTACAATGTTTAAACTTGTTTTTGTGAACATTATATGCAGTACCGTACCTGCTAATTTACATTTCCGTGCTTGTACCCAAAAAAAGAAGAAGAATACTCGCACTTCGTTTTACATAAAATAAGTGTTAAACGTCTCAATTATTTTTTGGGTTGGATACGATCTAGTGTAGTATGTCTGGTTTTCTCAATTTTTACCTGCTCGTGCTGTCTAAACTCTGAAATGTTTTTTTTATTTAATGCTTGCTCCGATATCGGGTTTTCAAATTCCAAATCTGATTTAAATTCCAAACCAAAACGGAATTTTTTTCCGTACAAGTATATACACATAGTTGTTCTTCGCATCTTTGTTGTGCTGCTCCCGTTCTCGCACGCAAAGGAACGGTTGATTAACATAACAATACCCCCTCAGTGAAGCTTGCCCAAGCACAATCTACGGAACGCGTTCTAAAAGCCGTTCGGCATGGGAAGGAACGGGGGCCGTTCAGAACGGGAAGGAACGCGTGCGCACGCGTGCGAACGGTTAATTTATTTATGACGCCTCGCCTAAACCAAGTCAGCTTTTCAACAATAATTTCGCCAGTTACTTTTTGGATAGCTGCAAATGATACACTCTACCTAAAGTGTTTGGAATCAACTGTTTGAAATTAAATGTTTGAATTAAATGTTTGGAATTTCATGTTTGGAATAGACCCTTTCCATGATGCCCCATGACAGTAGGCAGGCCTTTGTTCCTGTGTGATACAATTGAGCAGGCACTTTGTGCTTTCATTGTAACCGAATATAAAAATAAAATCTGACCACTGTTATGGCACACCACGCATGGAGTCTATAAACTGTTTGGAATTAAATATTTGGAATGAAATGTTTGAAATTATGTCAGAAACCAGTTGTCTGTATTTATAATTACTAGTGCAGTGCCCGTCTAAAATGAGCATGTTCGGGAAATGCAAATTGCTTTGCCGCTGGTATAGGTTGCATACTTGCAGAGTTTTGGAGAACTGCTCATGCAAACAATGCACGCGATTCAATGGTGTTGTTTTCACAGGTTGAACGCACACTTACGTCAAAGTTTGTGCCAAGTTTGAAGTTCGACCACCTACAATGGTCGCTCAGTCGACTGCAAAAATAATGTGCCCGTGTACATACGAAAACATGGTATGCAGTGCTATTCACCCATACTGGACAATGTATCGCCCTACAATGCACGTGCGCGTGCCCGTCCTTTTTGCATTGTTTGCGTCATATTGAGCACGCGCGCTTTAGCTTAAACATGACGTAAACAATTGAAAAGAACGGCAGTGCGTGGTGTTGTGTTCTAAGCTGCCACGTTTGCCTCTGAAAATACTGCTTTTTTGCAGCTTTTTCGAGAACCGCTCATCCAAACCACTTCAAACTTGGCACTGCACATTCTGGTGTCCCGGGCAATACACCCGCCGATTTTCAACTTCACACGGTGCCTGGTTCTGGAGATAATCGGCGGACTGACAGACAGACAGACAGACAGAGATTCCTGGAATTATAGTAAGGATTGTGTCCGTCAATGTTACGTGGGTAACCGTGTGCTAATGCTGATAACCCTTTCTGAATGTGAGCCATTATCATCAGATGGACTTGATAAACAAATTAAGCGGTTGGCAATGGACCACCAAAGACTCAGTTATTGGCATGACAGACTTCATGCATTTACTCGTTGTCTTTCATTGAAAAGGTAAACGAAATATATGGAGCAATGACCATGTGAAAAATCCAGTGATTCAGAGGGTTTCTAATTTTTGTTTGGCCAAAAGGGAATTTGTAGGGGATTTCCTAGGGTGATATTATTTACAATAATTGCTTGCACTTTACAAACACAAAAACGACAATTTCTCAAATACCTTGCTTGACTGCTGGGAATACCGGTACCAAGGTGTCCGTCCCCGTTACATAGGTAATACCCCTTAAAGGCAGTAGACAAAACCCTTTATTTATTTATTGTACAAGAGAAAGTTAGCTTTTTGCTACTTTTTCTAAATTTGTTTCAAGCTGATTGTGCCCTCAATTCACGTTTGAGTCTTGAAATCTCCCCCAAGCAATTTCAGTGTTGAGGTAGATGTCACACTCCTATTACCCATTACTGTAATGGGACCCCTGGATTCGAACCCCTGACCCCTTGATCATGAGATCACGAACCCTAACCACCAAGCCACACTTCACAAATTCCATCCAAAGACAATCACCTCTAAAAGTAGTCCTGAAGCCCGTCGCCATTTTGAACAAAAAAATGCGCCTACATAATGTAAGCTCCAGTTATAGGGCCTAATTTCATCCATATTTTACAGAAATACAATGTCGCAGTCCTGATTACGGCTTTCACCCTTGTTTTTGTTTAAAACCCTCAAGTTCATGGTCCACAAAATGCTCTAATTAATAAAAAAAGCAAAACAATTGAGGGCATACAAATCATGTTTTGGCCCGCGTAGGCAATTTTGGGCCTATTTACCGGCCTGCACCCAGAATTGATTTTGCAGCCTTCAGTATAAGGTTTTGACCGTGAGTTTGGGATTAATACTCAACAAGGGAGGACAGATAACATAAATGATGGACAAACGGAGACTTTTTATCAGGGATTATTATTAGAATAGGAAGGTCAATGATCTATTGGGTCAGATTGTTTCTGGGGACAAAGTCCAGCAGGTGATAGGGTTTTTGTCTCCGGTGCTGCGCTGTCATTTATTTGACGAGTTGATGCAGTGATAACTTGGCTGAGAGTGTTTTCCAGTGGAACCGAAACTGTGCCACGTTGGATTTAGTGGGGTTTAATTAATTTGTTAGTTGCTGAGTTGATGCACGTGTAGATGGTAAGAAATGTAATAAGCGAGTATAATGTTTCGGTGACATTGTTCTCTCTCCTAAAAGATTTCCTTCTTAAACTGGAAGTCTTTGAAAGAGAATTTATATAAAACAATTTCAACATGTCTCCCCAGTTTTGAGAACTATGCGTATGAAAAAAGTGTTAACTTTTTGGGGGACCTCCCTGTATTACTGTTCACGCATCTATTGACCACATTTTTGTTGTGGGAAGGGGGAAGTTGCTTGAAAGTGACTGTTTTTTTTTTAGGTAGAACTAAACTCTACTATTGTTCCCCACCACTGGAGTTTTTCTGTTCCTTTTTTTTTGGGGGGGGGGGGGTGTGATTGGATTATCTATTGAAGTCTAAATCATCTGTTTTTGCAAACACTTTATTCTCACTGATTTGTTGGCATGTGTTTCTCTTTCAAACAGCTGAGAGGCCTTCAGGAAATCACACAGATAGCGACAGGTTTCAGACCAACCAACAAAACTTGACTGCCTGGACCCACCCAGCATCCTCACCATGCATACGATATTCAAGTTGGCCCTGGCGCCACCGCTGATGTGCATCGGTCTCATGATGCTGCCCTTCGTCTTCTTCTTTTCGCCCACGATTGTCGCCGCAGTAGGCATTGTCTACTTCCGTCCCGACCTGGTCTTCAGACTGTACACCCGGTGAGAACAAAATGTTGACGATTTGTGTTTGTTGTAAGATCAGGGGCATCAACTCCCCTTTCTTCAGTCTTGTCGGTAAAGCTTCTCGTGGGTAAAAATGGTTCAACTTTCAGCAAAAGGGATCACTGTCAGTGGTGTAGCTGTGGGGGGGGGGGGGGGGGGGGGGGCAGCATGCCCCCCATAAAAAGTTTGCGCCCCCAGTTGCCCCCCCCCCCCCTGAAAATTTGGCATCCGGAGAAAAAATCCAGCCATATGAGGTACCATGATTAGCTGGAAGAACATAAAATCCCTTTTGCCGTGATTGTGTGCATTTTTTTTTTTAACAAAACTCTTTATTTGTGCGAGTGGCTGTTTATTGTAACGTCCCTTGTAAAAGCGAATAGCGGTAGTTATTGTCTAATGTAGCCATGATATACGTTGTGAACAGCGACCGCTATGGGAAGATTTTCTGGCCATAATGGTTTTTTTTTTTTTTTTTCCCCACTTTTCTAAAAAAAATTTAAATGGGGGGGGGGGGTTCATAACCTACCCTTCTCACTTGGCCACACTGCACAAGATGTTTGGTGTGACGAATCATTGTACTAGTTTATGAATTAAATCTGGCAAAATGGCATTCTGTCGTGCAGATCATTTGAAAAGGACACATTCTTTGAAAGACCAAAAAAAGCAATCTGAATTCTGTGTCAGCTTTGTATGTCATTGAACTTGGTGAGTCTTTCTGCTTTCCCCAGGTTCAAGATGTGGCACATCGGCTTCCGATCCAAATCCGTCACCGTCAGCAAGTACACCTTTTCATTTGCCGTGCGAGGCAAGCCTGACCCTTCCCGCCCCTCCATGCTATTCCTGCACGGCTTCTCTGCAGCCCAGGATATGTGGTGGCCGTTTGTTCAGGTATCGTTATATATTAATTATTAGTTCATAGATACCTAAGACAGTTTACCCATTCCTATTGGTCGAGAGCCCATCACGTACGGATGTTAAGGAAATGGCTGGCTGGTCTTAAACACTAGTGTCACATGAAATTTGGACTCCTATGAAATCCAGTGCCTTTTACCGTTTTACTGGTTGAACGTTCACAATCCTCACGTAGGCATGCGCAGTACAACCAGTGAATCAGTATTTCATAGTCCGAAATTCACACTACACCAGCCCAGCTGCTTTTTGCGTGACATCGCGCAGTACGAAAGACGCACACGCCAATATCCTTTCAAGGAGTTGTAGAGGGAGATTCCATATTAATAGTCAGAGGGGTGTTTTCTTTTAGAATGTCCATTATATAATGATCTTCGATCTAACTTTCTTACTGACATTTGTAAAATGGAGCCTGGCTTTAACGGTTTAACAAAAAATGATAAATTCATTTTTCTGATGTCGTCGGCAGATAAACATACTATTATATGTGTAGCTAAATTTATTTCCAATGTACAAATCTTAAAGAGAGGCAAAGCATGACGTAATTTCAAAGCATATTCTTTGTTAACCCACCTGCCAAATAATTCAATGTTTAATTTCACTGTTGTAACCCTTCCCCAGGGTCATGGGGTTTGTTCCTATTTGTGGAATAAAACATAACATAACATAACATAACATAACATAAAACAAAATAAAAATTAAAATTGTTGAACAAAACAGTTGACAACATCTAATTTTTGACTTGTTTTGATTTTGAGACCAACAAAGTTAGTTTTATTTACCGAAAAGGGATTCGCCTCGGGTAATTATCACCCATCCAGACTCCCACCGGTCTTAAGCAGAATTTTTAATACCTCCTAAACACACATTTATTCCCTTATTATTATTAGTAAGTATTGCTGCTAATGAAACCTGGTCCAAGCAGCACGGACGTCAGGTTGGTAATTACTTAAAAAGGGCTGGAAATGGTGACTCTTAATTGACAGACTTGAGTCTGAGTCTTGGACTCTGGTCATTAAGTCTGGCGTCAGTGAGGTATATGTAATGTTTCCCACATGAGTTACATGGGTTGCTAGTGTACGTGTTCATCTTTTCAAACCGTGGACGAAAAATACCAGAGAACAAAAGACAACAATATCGTCCACGATTCCCAGCATACGTCCATGATTGGGGTCGTGTACAAAACCTATGGGAGTCTTCCTAAAAAGTTACAAACAAAAGAGGGACAATAGGACGTCCACGATCGACGGTAAACACACGTTTGTCTGTGTAACCATAGTGGCTCTGGTTCGTTCCCAGCTAGGACCATGTGTGAGTAGAGTTGTGTGTTGGTTCTCTCCTGTGCCACGAGGGTTTTTTCATCTCTGGCTGTGCTCTGTAGTCATATTTGGGTCGTATGGTTGGACCTTTTGCCTGCAGCTCAACCACGTTGTAGCCGCGTCCTTCGCAATTCAGCTTGACTGGCCTCCCAAATTATTATTATTACATGCGCAGGAGTGGCAAGGCTATAACCTTCAGAACCTTCAGAAATTTATACTGTATGAAAACGCCTGGAGGGTTTTTCTAAACATACAGTGCTGTAATGGATATGTCTATTTTACTCAAGTTTTTGGCATAGGCCTATAAAATCCTTCTATCTTTCCTGCAGAATTTACCCAGTGATTGGCACATCGTGGCAGTGGACATGCCTGGCCACGGCAAGACGACACGCAAGATGAATGATAGCTTCTCCCTCCCAGCCCAGGCAGCAAGGATGCGACAGGTTGGTCAAGAAATTCCCGGATTGTCTCCAACAATTAATAACTGAAAACCGTCCATCAAGGAATCTTGGCTCCAGCTCAAAACATCATTTAACTCCATGTAAAGTTCACACCAAATATTATGACCAACAGACAGTTCAATATGCAGCAATGGAAGAAGGGAATAAATTACTTCATCATATAAAGATAAGTCCATCATTGGAACATTTTAAATCACAGCTTAAAACACACTTTTTCGCTTCCAGAAGCCCACAGAGACATTTTTGTATAATGCGCTATATAAAAACTATTTATATTATTTTTATTATTAAATAAACTTTTGCCCAATTTCATGGCACTTCTAATTCAGCACATGATTTTCTGCTAATGTGGCTCCCATTCATGAAACAAACAAAAAATGTTTACTAAAATGTTTTTAAAATATAGTTCTTGCCCTTTTCAGTGATGATTTACTTTTTGGAAGCGGGCTTTGTGATATGTCATAAAGCTGAAAACACAGAAAGTAAAGTATTGGGTTCTGCATTTCTTGAACTGATCACGGATCCTCTACACAAGGATAAACGACTTCCCCAAATTTCTGGTTAGATGCGTGATATGGCACTTGCGCGTCGCGCGTTTGCGAAACTCGGCACGCGACTGCAGTCTTTCAGTGGTCAGATTTCTGTCAGGACGCCAGCTGTCGGCGATCATGGCGTGCGCATTGTTCTACATGTTCAAATTACTGAAATTTGGAGGGGAAAAAAACTTCATTTCATACTCTGCCCAGATATGTCTGAGTTAGACAGAACATGTCACACTTGTTCAAAATTTTAGCAATCAGTTGGCTGTTCCTACAATATTTGCACGTAAAGTTGATTTGTAACAGTCAGGTTTTTCTTTCTTGTTTTGGCTCCAGTTCACACAGGCTGTGGGTCTACGGAAGAAGCCGTTTCATCTAGTGGGTATATCCATGGGTGGCGGCGTGGCTGGGGTTTATGCGGCTAAGTACTCGGAGGATCTCGCTAAACTCACCATGTTCTGCCCAGCAGGTCAGTGTAGCAATTAACAGATGCTGAGGTTATACTGTCAGTCACTATTGTACGTTCCAGTAGCTCACCCAGATTGACTTGGGTTAGCCCCGTGCCGTTCGATTAGCTCTGACGTCATTCTCAGGGCTCACCTGGGTCAGCCACCACAGACCCTGCTCGTGGAGCAGAGTCAGTGGTGGAAAAACGTCACATGCATGCATTGTTCATTTCAAAAATGGATAAATATGGCGGCCAGACAGCGGAAATCTGAAGTGGACTCAAAAATAAACTTTATTGAAATCTAAAGGTGATTATTGATCATTGCGACTTTAGCGGCTATAAATCCGGCCAAACTTTGTTATTTTGTCAATTGATGGAAAAGTAGTAAATCTCAAACTAAGACCCAGTGCGAAACGGGCGTTTTGTCAGTGCAGGCCAAGAACATAGTCATTCCCTTATTTGTACATTGACTTCCATTCTTGAGTTTTGTATTTGTTTCTTAACTCTATCTCAGTTGAAACCATAAATCAACATCTAGCTTTTCTTGTTTGTTTAATTGTTACATGTACGTCGGGCCTGATTTTCTGATTTTGATTTAACACAAAGAAATGTATTTGTTCACCGCACAATGCTGGAATTTTATGTAAAGGTAAAAGAGGTAGAAATGTAAGTTTATTGACATGGCAGATTTTCCACAGTTCCTTCAGAACAGAAAGAGAAGGGTGTAGTCTACTTGTCTGTTTTTATAATGTTATATCAAACTCAAATTAGGTTTTGCCCTTCACCGACGTATAACCACTGTATACTCAGTGTGTTACCTCCCGAGTGAAAGTTGGAAAAAAATCACTTGGGTGGGACTCGAACCCACGACCTCCTGCTTTCTAGTGCAGATGTCTTACCACTCGACCACCGAGCTAACGGGATCGGTTGGCCGGTTCGAATCTGATGTACATAGCAGCGGGTACCGCATAAACTAAAAACGCAACATTCCATCATATCAAAATATAAAATATACTGTTCAGTTAAATTACGCATCCAAAAAGATTAAACTTGTAAGTTGGGCTGTTGTATATTATGGCTGTTGACATAATATAGATGGGTCATTCTATAAATTTAGGGTGCAAAGTCTGACATTTTTTCTGACCCTGTTACCTTGGTACTTTGTAATATGCCTTTCAAGTACCGGTATCTTGAATGACTTTAAGCATTTTTTTTTTATTGGTTGGATAGGTAGTCTACTCTTCATAATCACTCTCGGAGGACGACTGCATTAAGGAGTGCCTCAGAGTGAGAAAATTGTAGAAGTCAGATATAACAAGGACAGGACAAAAAAGTGGACCCCAAATTTATAGAATGACCCCGATGTCTTGCAAAGACTAGATTAGCCATATCTGTCCAAAAGTCTGTTGACTTGATGCCAACCATTGAGCACTGATTTTTCGTTAATCGTTCAAAGTGAGGTCAAATTTTCTTTGTCGCCATTTTTGGAACGAGGCCAGATTGTTTTGACTGCCCGGTCGACGACATGTGCAAATTGATACAGGGCAGATCACACACTGATAAACAAGTGCTTAATTTATTCAAGGACTACGGTCAATAGTTAGATAACCTTCCTATGTGAACATACATTCCATGCAAAGTTCTTTCAGTCAAAATCAGTCAAGTGACTGTTTTCAACAGTTTAGAGCTCCCAGCCTACATAAAGCAGGATTGACTGGCTGCGACTGTTTATGTAACTTGACAAAGCTATGCTTTGACTGTAGGTGATTGATAAGCCAGCTGTGCCCATCACTTGCCTGCAAACTACCCCTCGCCATTCGCAATATCTCATCGCTTTCTGAATTTAAAGTGGTCCTGAAGACCCATTTGTTTCAGATCACTCAGAATACTCTTGTTTTAGTTAAATTTAATGGTTTTGTTATTTCTGATTTGATCTAATTTTTGTATTGCGCCATGAGCATCATTTATGGCGGATACCGGCACGTTATAAATTGCCGTTATGACATTATTATTATTATTTTTGTCTGTTGAAATATGCTTGAAATATAATCTGACTGTTGGTGACTAACCTGTGTAAAAAGCATGGCAGGCTGTCCTTCTGATTTGAGGTGTGCGATCACACCCCCCACACCGTCGCACGCCTAAAAGCTTCCTGAGAAGTGTGAATAATTGCACGCCTGAATTTCCCTGGACCACAGATCACACACCTAGAAAATCACACACCTAGAAAAAACACACGCCTAGAAAAATCGAGGTGTGCCTTTTTCCACCCGCCTGTGATTTTCAAATCAGAAGGACTGCCTGCAGCAGGGGAAGAGGATTGATTTTTTTGTTGACTGTCTGTGACTGTTCAGACAGCAGGAGGGTTAACACTCATTGAACTCTTGCCTAGCTTTGACTGATGCATCACATCTACTTATGCATACAATCTCAGTTGATGTTTCAATTACTTTGGGGGTTTTTTAGCCGTAAACCCATAGGTAACCAGTGATCATTATACATATATAACATGGTTTGAGGGTGGACAGTCGATATTCGCTCCCCGAGGTATTGGATGTTGACAAACTAGTTCCCGAGGCGAAGCCAAGGGAACTAGTTTTTCATTTTCCAATACCGAGGGGAGCTAATATCGACTGTCCACCCGAAATAAACCATGTTATATTTGTTTTACTACACCTCGTACATTTCGGCGCCAGTTTGTTTTTTCGTTGCAGTATGCACCTACAACCAAATCTTTGGAGAAACTTGTCCAGCTCACCAAAAGAATCTTATTGCTCAACTTCACTAGTTCAGTTCGTTTGCAATACAGTGCAGTTGTAAATACAGTAGCCAACTTTATTTTTTACAGAAGGCATCTTTATTGTCCATAAATATTCGGCATCATTGTAATCGGGAAAAGTACGCGTACCGTGTAACCATCTCTTTGTGTAGCTCGCTTGGGGGATGTTCGCGCATGCGTACTTCACCCGTGCGACAGTTCCACGATTGCTTTGTAAATTTACCCTGTTCGTGAATCCTGGCACGCGCGCTTGGAAAACAGCAAAAATAACATCTGGCACGTGATGGTGAATTGACCAGTGAGAGATCGGCTGTCGATCATGAATATGTATGAGGTATAGTAAACCCGGATGTGGTACGTACTCTGCACCGGAGTGCTTAAGTTCCGGAGGTTACAGGTTCAATTCCTTTGTTCAATCTTGTAATTGTCATATTTTTTTCCCTTCAGGAATCAATTCCAAGATCCCTAGTGAGTTTGAGCTTGCTGTCAGCGATGGCAGGCTCAGCAATGGCCTGTTGCCAGAGAATGAAGAAGAGTACGTCAAGATGGTGCCATACTTGATGTATGAGGTTCCCAAAGTCCCAAGTCTGGTGCGTTTTTAGTTTACGCATGATTGTTATTTATTATTTACTTCATTTCACACAACCTAAACCCTATCCTGTTAGGCCTTTTATGCTATGATGCATCCTCAGTCCTGAAAAAAAATCCTCCAACTGCCTCCCTGTAAAAATTTGATACAGCCTCCAACTGCCGAAATCATCCATTATCTCTTGAATTTGTTCATTGGAGGGGTGACCACTGCCTCAATCCTGCAAAATCTTCCACCAATCATTGTTAGGCAGTGCCGATGATATCCAGAAGCGGTATGGATGTTTCAAGTATAATCTAGGCCTACATTTGTGCACGGCAAAGCATAAACAACACAAGCTATACAGCCTGAAAGCTTGAAAAAAATGCATCCTCCAAAATCAACAGATACATTTTTGCCATATAGCCTCAATCCTTTGAAATCCTCCACTTATGCTAAGGGATGTTTGAGGAATTGGGAAGGCAAGGATTTTTTTTCTGTATGATTATTGTCAATTTTTTTTTTTACGTTTTATTTATTGTCATGTTTTGGCTTCTCCAACTTTTGTATTTCTAATTTGTCACAGTACTGGAAAGGAATGAGGCTACTGAGGAAAAACAACAATGCGTTCTACAAGAAAGGTGAGTTGAGAGCCGTTGGAGTCTCGCCACCTTTATGCCAAGTGACTACAAACAAACTCTGTGCAGATTAGAGAACACTGAACTGTAGTGGTGGGGTTTAAATCTGGATTTTTTTAAAACTTATTGTTTCCATTTTGGAAACTGGATATTCGAAATCAACCTAAAAAAAATTAAGCCTTCCGTTTTTTTGTGACACAGACTAATTAAAGAAACAACTGAAACATCCCCCAATTTGCTCCATGGTCTATGATTGTAACTGCATTTAGTGAGGTACCTTAGTGAAAAAATCGTGACACAGTGGACAAAAGCACCATTTTTTTCACCAAAGCATCTCCATGGTATACCTTTTCGAAAAAAAGACGGACGCAAAAAATTGGATGATGGGAAGGGCATGTATGACGTCATTATGACGTCATCAGCTAATTATTACATGAAAAAAATATAAATTGATAATAATCTTCAGAACTACAAGCATTACAGCAACAAATGTGGTATCAAATTAAAGGGGACAGCAAGCTCTTTCATATGAGTGGTATGTCATGGGGATGGAATATAGTTAAGGGTGATTTTGTGGGTCAAAAAAACTTTTTTGGTCAAAAGACATGTTTTTTAGGCTAAAATCATGGATTTTGGGTAGTCACATTGACACTTTGTTTAAATACGCAAACAGTATGTGGTATTGTGAGATGTTGTTTTTAAGTTCCAGAGAAAAATTCAAATTCTATGCCACAAGAGTTTTTGTAATTGATTATTAGTATCATAAATATGTTTAAACTTGTTCCAAAGATAAGCGGAAAAGTGAGGTACCTATTAGTGATAAAATTGTGACACGGGTGGACAAAAGCACCATTTTCACACCAAAGTATCTCCATTGTTTACCTTTTCGAAAAATCACAACTTGATGAACTTAAGCAGCTGTGTGCTAGCTCCTTTGAAAAAATATTCTTGCACAATTTGCGAACAAGTGAATTACATTTACCATACTTTCAAAAGTTTTGTGTGTGATAATTAATCTTGTCTACTCGCCAATATGCTTCTTCTCACTTCAGATTCCATTAGGTTTTTGATCTTCACTATTTGATTAAATGTTGTTGTTGGTTTTTTTGGCAGTCATGAGTGATCTGATGGCTCCTAACTCCAAAGATTCCCTGCGAGCCAACATGTCATCTATCACTGTGCCCACTTTGGTTCTCTGGGGCCAACATGATAATGTAAGCGGGACTTTTAATTGCAAGCTGTGTATATTTACTTACAACTCGTCACTTTTTTTAACAAGATAGTAACAACACTTTGAAAAGAAATCTGTAAAATAAATGTGTCAAAATATGGCACATTATAATTAGGCTGCAGTTTATCCGTTTTACACACCGACACCATCTTTAAAATGTTGAAAGTTGTGTTTTTGAAGAATCAATGCTTCAAACATTAGGTTTGGATGTTACATTATTTAGCAAAAATGTGTATTAAAGGTACATATACGTACCCCTTTTGTCCCTTTACAACCGCAGAAACAGGGTTTTTATTAGCGAAAAATGATGCTGTCATAATCCATATCGTACAGGCATCGCGTAGTTTTGAATATTCGCACGTGACGTGACGTGCAAAGCACGCGAGCACATTATGGGCACGCCCGGCGTGCAATCTTCGAAATGCGCGTGCAGTACGCTCTGAATAGCCAGACAGCATCGTTTACGTGTACATCACGGCCAGGGGTTAGCGCCCATGGAGTCGAGGCTGGTTAGTAGAGCACCGGTATGGTGTTCCGAGAGGTCGAAGGTTCAAAACCCACTCAAGTCAATTTTAACCTAAAATTGAATTTATGTTGGTTTTTGTATTTTTCAGCTTCTTCACCCCTCTGGGGCGAGAGTTCTAAAAGAAGGCATCCCAAACAGTCAGGTTCACGTCCTGGAGCGTTGTGGCCACTCACTGCACATGGAGAGACCCTTTAAGACGTCCAAGCTCCTGCGCACATTTGCCGAGGAAGAAAATGCAAATTAAAAAATCACTCGTTAACAAGTGGTTGATTTGTGGCATACTTGCTCCTCCTAACAGTGTTGTAGTTCACCACAAGTCCATCACAAATCCACCAGTCTCAAGTCAAGTCACGAAAAATATTCAAATGAACTGTTACAAAAGCAGTGCTTTGTTAGGCCAAAAAAATAATAAGTCGGTCTCTGGTCAGCGCGCGCGTCGATTTTAATCATGCGCGTCAACCTTTTTTTTCCCAAAATGTTCCGCGGTAGCTCCAGTAGCTCCCTCTATTGCCGCACCTCAATTTTTTTTACCAAAGAGCACCAAGGAATGGGAAATTGCACCAAGGCAAATGATCGAGAGCATCAAGGCAAATTATGGAGGACAACAATGTACATGAGGACACCAAAAAAGCAAAATAGTACCCCACATTGTCTGTACAATCCAAGCTTGAAAAAAAAAAAAAAGCCGAGGCCCCGCGTCAATTCCGGAACTTTGGTCTGACCAGAGACCGAATATTTATTTTTTTTGGGCCTGAACGGTTGAATCCCCTGTTACTTGTGACTGGACTTGCAAAAGGACTTTGTGATTCACTTCTGAATGGACTTGTGATGGACTCGGCCACATCCCAAGATTAAAATGCAACTTTACTTGGGTCAAACTATGCACCTTAGTCACAAGATGGCCGTTTTAAATCATGCTCGCTGGATCTCTTTTAGTTTCAAATACTCGTGCATGGGGAGTAATTGTCGGATGATGATTGCAGGGTTTTACATGTTGTGCTTTTAAAAGTGTTTTTTGCATTCAGAATAAGCTTGAGATACCTTTTGTCCATGAATTAGATTTATTTACCTGAGCACAGTGATGGTTATCAATCATTTTCTCATTTTACATCAACTTCATTTCAATTTATACATTACCCCCCAAAAATGTGCAGGGTCCGCCTCGCTTTCAATTCAAGATGGCCGTTGTTGGTCAAACATCAAAAACTCATGGTGTCCGCTCTGTGTTGCACACTGCAACACTCGTGGCTACTGATTACCAGCTTTTTTTAATCGGTCACTGACTATTTAAAAAGTCCAACCATTGCTCATTAGTTTAGCTTTGACACATTACTGTCAGTCAGTGTTCTTTGATTTGACTAACTCTTGTGTGTGTATAATCATACTGATTTCTGACCCAAAAAAAACATTTTTTCGGTCAAAATTGTTAAAATAATTGAATAGTTCAAAGGTGTTAATAGAGTAGGTTTCATAGTATACAAATATAACATGATTGAGGGTGGATAGTCGATATTAGCTCCCCGAAGAATTGGAAGTTGACAAACTAGTTTGTCAACTTCCAATACCAAGGAGAGCTAATATTGACCATTCACCCAAAATAAACCATGTTATATTTGTTTTACTATACCTCATACATATTCAGTTGCCGAAATTTTCCAATTGCAGTACGCACCTCGGCATAAAATCTTCAGAGAAACTTGTCCAGCTCACCCGAATATTGCTCAACCTCAGAAAAGTTCAGAAAACACTGATAAACATTTACGCGTGCCGCCATCTTTTCAATAGTAGGGTGATGTTCGCGTGTGCTTACTATATACCCGTGCGATAGTTCTACACTTGCTTCATAAAGCGCATGCATAGTGGACTATCGCACGGGTAATGCATGCGTATTTACCCTGTGCGTGAATACTCGCGTGTGCGCTTGGGTAAACAGCAAAAATAAAGGCTGGCACATGATGAGGAATGGACCAGCGAAAACTTGGCTCTCAATCATGAATATGTATGATGTACAGTAAATGCTAATAGAGTAAGGAACAAGTCTGTCACCAGCCAATATGGCCCATCAGGCTGGCATTTACCTTTGATTTCGGTGGCAAGAAACGACTGAGAATATTTCTATTCCCCCCTGAATGGGATGCCATCGTTGGTTACTCCCCAGCTAATGCCAGTACCCATCAATACTAGGTGGAGAGCCAAGTTGAGGTGAAGTGGCTTGCCCAAGGACACAACATAATAGCCAGCATCTGGCTTCAAACCCCTAACTTTATTATTATGCGCCATGAATCCTAATTGCTAGGCCATGCATACTAAAATTAATCAGTGCAGTAAAATTCATCTTGTGTAGTAGTTTATATGCATACTCCCCGCATATATTAGTAGAGGGTGCAGTAAAATTATTCTTGTGTAGTATTTTATATAATGTCAGTGGTAAATTGACTTTCATTGCCTGTCATGCCTGTGTGTGAAAATTCATATCAAGAAATTATATAAACTATTATTATTGTCTCTGTACCACCAAATATATTGGCTTTTAATTTATAATAATGCCATTACAATGCATGCTGGTATTTGTAAACAATTTTTTATACATGTACATTCATATGTCAGTTCTTTAACAGAACTAATTGTGTTTAATGAAATTTTTAAAAATCACGTTGAGATTTTAACCAATTTAGCGGGCATGCAACTTTTCCTCGGATCTGCTGATTTCCTCGATTTTTACTTCTCGTGAATGCCATTACAAATCGAAAAATACTTTACAAAGTCTTGTGTGCTTTGGAGTTTCCTTGGTTTTTTTTTCTTCTAAATTCCCAGTTGCATGCCTGATTTAGTTTATAATTTAAGCAACAAGCACCGAGTTAAACGTTCTGGTTTCTGAACTTTGAAGTGTTTTAGTTTTCAGGATTTTAGATGAGGAAAAAGTTGTGTAGATTGAAAAGTTTCTCAGAGTTTGGACACATAAGCATTACACACTGTTGTCTTAAATCATTTATTTTGAAAACTTGAGATTTTGATATGAAATCAAAGGCATCATCATCATAAAACACCAAGCCCAGTGACCAGTTCGGATAGGTTAGGGCTGTGGATTTTTGAATAATTTAATATTCCATTTTTCTAACTTGGACTTAAATCGAATATTCAAATATAGGTTTTCCCGGACAATTTCGGAAAATGTGCGTTTGAATTTGTAAAACATAATTTCAATTTGGCGCCGAGTTTGAGAACGACGTACATCCTGGTTTCATTTTTACAATAACTAGCATTCGATTTCATTTTGCATCAATCAAATGAATGAATGTGCGTAACGTTTCATTTAAGGAATTACAAATACGTGATTAGGTTTTCGGTTTGACGTATGCGTTGCCGATTATTACGAATGTGCAATCCAATTCGCAGAAAATCGATTGTCTATTGTGACACAGGCTGAATTGAACATTCTTTTTCATTTGTTACAATTTAAATTCGCATTTTCTGCATTCAATTTAAATAAATTATACAGGCCTATACAAATCATGATACAACTTTGATTCATTAATTAATGATTCATTAATTAATCAATGTATGCCTTAATGATCATTAATGTGTTTGTTCTTATATACACAAAGGCATATGTGAAATGTAGGCAAATGAAATGTGAAAATGATATATAATATGACCAATATGAAATCACTCAAAAATAATCTTGTGGCCATATTATTGAGACGGTAAAGGGACACATCACGTGTCATGTTACATGGGATCTGCATGGGGACTTTTTGAATATTCAAAAATTCAATAATTCAATCAACCATTCCTCAACTGTTAATTTAACACATAAATGAATTCCAATGCTTGACCAGGCATACGTTAAATAACACTGCGAGGGAAATCGGCTGCACATTTAGCGAAAAAGATTGATGATAAATTAAAAGGAAAACAGGATTGCGGATGTGCCTTCGATTTCGCGCTAAAATGAAATGTCAATACACTAAATGCAGTGCACATTCGGGAAATCGTATGCTGATTTTTTACGACTGAATGCACTTTCACGGAAAAAGAATTTATCATTTTGTTAAATAGAAACAGAGATTTGGAACGTTCATTCTATTTCGCACGAAAACGAATGCTTCTTTTACAAATTCGTGTACACATTTTCCGAAAATGTCCGGGAAAACCTATATTTAATTGAAATGCGCTAATAAATTTTAACATGCCCCAGCCCAAACTGGCCGCCGATTTGGATTTTCACGCAACAGCACTTGTTAAAAATGGATATGGAGCTTAATAAAATAATAATCACAAGCAACAGTTAGCAGAATGGCTCATATTTGACCAATTTTGGGAAGAATTTTTTAGCTTCACATGTTCTATTCATCATGGAAGCTCCAAAATTATGCGGAAAAAAATGGCTTTCAACAAAAGTGTGGTTTTTGACAAACAATAAATCCACATAACTTATACGATAAAAAGAAAAATTGTGGATTTTTTCATCTCCCCGAAACTAAGTGCTTTCAATGTTGAATATTTGAAATTGAATGAATATTTGGTCATTGAATGCTCAATATATTTTGCATGGCCTAAGATAGATATGAAACATTTATGTAGAGATGTTTCTCAAGGGGAAGGTCATGTTAAAATTTTGAACGAAATCTGAATTGCGGTACACATCCCCCCCCCCCCCAGCTTACCATTGTGTAACATATTTGAAGTTGAGAGGGGGGGGGATTTACTACCGACTTCAATACAGGCGATTTCAAGTGATTGAAGATTGAGTACAATATACAGGTTGTCCCACACAAAAACTGACAGTCGAAAACCAATTAATAAAGGTGCATGCATATTGCATGTTGGACTATTTTCAAATTACCTCTTAAAGTCAGCATTGGAACAAACACTATGCTTAATAGACAAACTCAAGGGTTGAGTATCGTCTTGGGCCACTTTCCTTGAAAGTGAGAAAGCGCAATTAGAGAAACACACAAAGGATTTATTTTTTTGTTTAAGAGTAACGTGTGACTTATTCTACTGGCTTGGATCTGCAAACTTGATAAACAAAGTGGCCCAAGTGGTTTTTCAAGTCCCGTATTGTGATTGTTGTATCTTTTGAACAAAACATCCTATTGAAACCAACTAAAAAGCATTTGGAAGACCACTTATTCTACTCAGCAATATATTAGACACGATTTTGAAAACTACCCCAGCTTTCTAAAAACATGTCTGATTTGACTGTTGGGTTTTTTTGTGGGACAATCTGTACATGTTCTACAAGTTAGTAAACAAATCTTGTGGTCTTTGTCTAAGAATGAAGGGTTTAATGCCGATTATTAATAGTATAATAGATTTTTAAAACCTGGGTATTGAGGAATTAACCTGGGTATTGTATGAAAATAAAATTTAAAAAATTCAGTGGGCGGGTTATTTGTGTGACTGTTGGATTTCTTTATCGTTTCTCTGGTAAACTTCTTGCACTGAAAGGCCAGTAGAATGTGGCTAAAAGATGTTTGTTTTGCTTCATCTTGCCGTGTCATTTCTGGGGGGGGGGGAATATTGTTCATGTTCATCAAATATACATGGACCTTCACAATAATTTAGATATTTTTGTGCTGAAGGCACTGCCCAACCGGCATTTTGGTTGGAAGAGCTGCGCCAAAGTAGATTTGAAGCAAAGAGAAGCAGGCCTGTTTTTTGCCAAAATTTTGAAATCTTGATTCTTTGTTGAAGGAAACTTAAAAATTTGCAGGAAAACAATTCTGAATCCACTCATAGGTGAGGCTAAAAATGTTGTCTTAATAATATGAAGACTTTATTTCCAAAATGTGACATACGATAATTTGTTACCGTTCGGAATCCCATTTTCCTGTGGCTGCCCAAAGTCAATTTCGAACGACTTTTATAAACGTACTCCATCAACAACAAAGCAAAAAAAACGAAATTTAGAAACGGCTGTTCCTTAAAGTTCCATTACTGCAAATTTTTCACTTTTTTCAAATAGATATATTGCGTTTTGGAAAAACAAAACTCTTCATATACTCGACAGGCATTAAGCCACAGAAAATGCTCTCTCACTAACGAAATAATCTTTAACTTAAGATTTCAAAAGATTTCAAACAATTCCTTGATCATCATCTCCAAAATTTATTAATCACATTTCAAGCAATATAAAAGTAATTCCATTATAAAATTTATGTTATTTACTGGCACAATTACCCTATTAAAACTTTTATGGAAAATGATAACATTGTGATATTTAGTCCAGATAACAAAAACGGGGAAAAAAACGAGGTGTCCGCAAATTGGGCTAAAAAGGGGAAGGGTTGCATAACGCGGGAGACCTGAACAAGTTCAAGAAAATATCCAAACTTATTGGTAACAAAATTGTTCACGTAGACATAATTATTGTAAACAACAATAATCTGTTATTTTGGGAGATTTCCTTGAACTTGTTCAAGTCCCCCACGTTAGATTACCCTTCGCCAAATTTTTAGCGAAATTTACAGACACCTCATTTCCCCCCCCCTTTTTTTTGGGGGGGGGGGGGCTAAACATCAAGATGTTATCATTTTCTTAATCAGCTGAAGGCAGTAATCTCAATGTCCAATGACGTGACAGAAGCAAAATTACAAAAATATATACATTGTATAATCCACTTAACAATTGTTCATTGGTCCCATTAAAATTGGCCAACTGGGTCTTTCCAAATTTTAGCTTTTAGATGGACAGTCCAACTTTGACCACTTTTTCACATGATCTTGTGGAAATAAAAAATAAACAGGTATTGGTATTTTCTTACAAATGAGTTGTCTCTATCACTTACACTAAACCTTAATATATATGAAAATTATAGAATGTCAAAATAGTTTTATAGAGGTCTTGCAAATTTAGACAGTTTATCATACTAAATACTCCTACCTACCCATAAAAGCCGAAGTTCTCAAACCACATTGTCCAGTTTCTTTGCAGTAATTCCTACTGTACCGTGTAATATTTTAGTATACTTGTAAAACTAGGGAAAAGACTTGATTTTCACACTGCTAGAGGTAGTAATAGAACAAGGCAGTATGTTTTCAGCAAAAAAAAAATCAACCTTTTTTGATCAGCCATCATCCCAATTCTCAGTAAGTTGAAAACCCTGCTTGGATTTTGGTTTGTCCAATTATTCCCACTTGGTCAAACAACACACATGTGCACCATTTTTTTGGCATAGCATTGCTTCCAGAAATGTGAATGTTCCAACCCTGTAATTGAGTGTAACGCTGCCAGTACTAAGTACTAAATTCACATATGCCATTTAACTGTAAAAGGAAATTGCAGATGCATATATATATGCTTTTTTACACTTGTATTGAAAAGTTAAATATCCTATACTAAGGAATATGTATTATGAACCTTGATATGAAAAATACAAAAGTTGGCATGTAGAGTACATAAAGAAATGTTAACACTTAACACATGATATACCTGTATGCTATATGTTCTAATTTTAAAGAAAAAAAATATTGAGCAATTCATAATTACTAGCAAACATGGGTGTCAATCGGTGGGGGACAGGGAGGGGGGGGGAGATGTCTCCCAATATTTTTTCAAGTTTTTTTTTGGGGGGGGATATTTTTTCCCCCTCCCTCTCTTTTTTCATCCTCAAATAAAACTTGTAGCCTTGATTTGATTCCATAGCTCAGAATAACTGATTCAATGACTCCAAACTCAAAAAATTATGTTTAAATATTGATCTTTTGCTTAAAACAATTTGGTTAAAGTGGTCAGAAATTGCCTTCGATTGCACCACACGAGTGTCTAGGGCTTCAAGCATCGCGCTTGCATTAGTTCTGATCAAGTTATGTCCCCCCCCCCCCCCCGCCACTTTTGAGGCGATTGACGTCCTTGCTAACAATGATTTTGTTACTATAAAGGCACTTGCAATATTATGACAAAAGCACAAAATTCAACTTCTGGTATAAAAATATGTCACACAAATATAAATGTTTCTCAACTTTAAAGCGCACTACAAGGTATAATATTAATGATGAAATAAATGTATGAATAAGGAAGCATGTTTTGACCCTGAGTTCTTCAAATCCACCATCCGGATTTTGAGGTATTTGGATAAATTTAAGACTGACAGCTTAGCCACTAACATTGGGGTTAGAATGTCAGAATATTTATTAAAGGTTAGCACTAGTGCTGTACAAAATTCACGAATCTTCGCGACCATTCAGTCTACTAGTCATACCATTTGGGGGGGGGGGGGCAGAACTTAGAATTAAAGGGAATATACATTTGCTTTTGTTGAGATTTTCAGAAATGGGTGGATTTGGGGGTGGGGGTGAGCATTTTATAGCAAATATTGTTACACTGACTTGTTTGAAGTTTTGGGTTCGTAGATGCTGGCCAAACCAAGAAAACAATCATGCTCTTGTAGTCAGGTTCCCTGACCCCACTTAAGATGAAACGGAGCAATTTATAGACGTCAGGGAATGGTAAGGTCAAGGAATCAGTCTACGTAGCTTGCACCCGGTACCCGTTCACAGGTGTGTAATCGATTGCAAAGAAAATGTTGACTAACTAAATATAATAAATTGGGAGCAGTGTCTGAAAAAAAGCCATATACAAAAATACAACTTTTCTTAAAAAAAGATTTTACAGGATGCTTAAGACTGTCAGTGTCATTCACTAACAGTCAAGTAAGGTGTTTTGTGATAATTTGGTAGTTTTGTTTTTTGATGTTTGCAAATGTTGTATATTCCCTTTAACCCTAACCCCCAAAGGGCTGTCTGGGGGTCAAGTACCAAATACCACAGAATATTATGTACATGTGCTGTGCACACTTGTATGGAAAGAAATTCATACTACAGGTTACTCCTCAGTAGTATTTTGTAGCAATGGGGGCGGTTAGGGTTAAAGACAGTTTACATCTACAGTAAACTTGGGACCTGAGAGTTTATGTTTTTTATGGAAATGGGACCGAGAGTAACACGACGACTTGAGCGAAATGGCGACTTATAAAAGCCGACTAAAAAGTAAACAAATTCAATGGAAAGCATTACAGACAATCAAGACTTTAGTCAGGCGGCCGACTTGAGCAATTTGACGAGTTGTACGATGTCGGCTTGGCCGGAGTTTACTGTATATTTTGGACTTGGCACCACACACAGGAATGTACGTTTGGCATTGCCATTCCCAGATGTCTAATTTCCATGTTATCTCAGAGGAAATTTGGAGAATTTCCAGAGGACAAGTGGTGCTGCTGGAATTAAATGGAACTCGACATCTAGGAATTCCCAACTGAATATACTTAGTATCATAATTGTTTTTAAAATTATTTCTATTTTATTCATTTATGTTTTTGGTGGGGTTTTTTTTTTGGGGGGGGGGGGGTTTGGGGGGGGGAGGGGAGGAATGGGTGGGATGGGATGGGGGGGGATGGGGATACCCCATCATAAATTTATTTTTAAACAAAAAAATGGCACAAAAAAAGAAAGACACAATTTTTCCAGAAGGCAACTTCAACGAACTGTTGGCCATCGGGGGTCCGGAACCAGTCTGTCCCAAAGTATGTGTATGCCAATCACCACAATGAAACCGAGACCAGACATGGCGGCCATGAAGATGAACCCTGGGCTGTAACTGCCTGTTGCGTCGAACATAAAGCCTGGAAATTGGGAAATGCACGGGTACACAATCAATTCGATTTCAATTCGCTCTTTTTCACACTTCCGCCATGGGCATGCACAGCCACGATCTGGCAACATTCCACAATAAATATAGCCGGTCGGTTCAGTGATTCCCGTGTCGGGGTTCAGATCACTGAACCGGCTATTTTTATTGTGTATTAAGTTGCCAGATCGAGGCCCTGCATGCCCAATGGCGGAGCGTGAAAAGAGCGAATAACATCACTTCGTTTCAAAAGTACAGAGTGCAGAGATTATCTTTATAGACGATAATAAATGCGTACCCTCAGATGCAATTATTTTTGTTTGCATTTATATTGCATTACACCATGTAAATTATTCACAAAATTATTCACAGATTAGATTAATTCATTTCAAAAGTAAAAAGAAAAGGGAACTAAAGACAATAAAATTCATCAAAGAAGCAATTTGCATTTTTGTACAGGCCTCTAACTACGGTATGCCTGTAAAGTGTGTACAGCCACTATAAACTCATACAAATTATCCTGTGCACTTGTATGGTGCTTTTATGAGATATTTTATTCATGGGGTAATACAGTTTGAACTGAATTGGAATCAAATGAATTCAGCAAAGGCAGATGGTACACAACTAACTAGCGAGCCAGAATAATCTGGACCCAAGATCACCATTTTTTTGTGGCAAATACCGGTAGATACATGTACGTACCATTTTGCACATAAAGGAACCCATTCCAATATCAAACAATTTTTGAACAGGAATTTTAACAAAATGCAATCACCATTAGTTGACATTTTGTTTAAATATTTTTTCAGAACATGCTTGATTTTAGTTACATTTAATTGCATTGTACATGTATGTAGTCATTGAAAACCAAATCATCAACATACATGTATGTTTTAGAGCATGTTGTCTTGATTTGAGTTATATTTATTTATGTCGTAATTGAAAACCAAGTCATCAACATATGCGATCAAGCTACATTGTAAATGAGTTGTTTGTCGACCCCGGTCAAAAAAAAATTTATTACAGATTTGAAAAGAGCACAATCTCAGCATTACTGCTGTGAAAACCGCATGCTGACACCATCTTTAGTTAAAAAATTATGGAAGTCGGAACACCAAGAGATATGATGAAGTGATGTGATGAAGTGGCCTTATTTTGGCCTGTATCTCCAAATGAAAATTCCCGACAAACGATTTATGTAGCTTGATGGCATGATTCGCATCACATAACATGTTGTCTGGACTCCAGTTATATTTAATTCTGAAATAATTGAACATCAAGTGATCAACATATATTTTTTTAAAACACGCTGTCTTGATTCGAGTTATATTCAATTATGAAGTGATTGAAAACGAAGTCATCAACATTTATTTTTTTAACATTTAACAAGTTGTCTGGACTGTAGTTATATTTAATTCTGAAATAATTGAACACCAAGTAATCAACGTATTATTGTCAGTTGATCAAGGGAAACTTTGCAGATGTTACATTTACCCAACTTTTAAATGGATGATTACCCAACTGTTCTGTCTGTAATTTTTCCAAAGTTTTAGGTAAACGTGCTTGCCCAAAGGCCGCTGGGTATTTTTTCGCTCAAAAGATTTGGATGTAGACTATTGTACCAACGTTGGGTAAAAAGTTGGGCAAAATTTGACCATTTTTTTTTGGCAGTGTACATATATAAGTGATTGACTCCAGCAAGATAAAACAGTTAAAAGGTTTTGTTGGGAAAAATTAAGGACTCATTGAAATCACAAACTATTAAGAGAGCAAGTTTAAGCACCAATAGCCTTGGTCAAGGCGTTCATCCTTTTTTGTCCGTACACAGTAAACGATCGGCGGCATATCCTCGCTATGCATTAAAAATACAGCGCAAACAGCGACCTCATGCGGCCACTGTTTTATGCGAATCATTTGGATCCAGACGAACGCCTTGGTTCAATCGTTCGTGAAAGCTTTTTTTTCTTCTTTATTTTGCACTAGATTTCTAGCACACGACCTCAAATGCAAATACAGATAAGTGTAGGCGGGGCTAATATGTGGAGTGTCCAATCACACCTAGGTATATTTGTACATCCCAACGTCATCAAATTATTTGCAGCTATTAGCCTTTTGCGGACGTGTCAGAAACCACATTTTTTTTTTACATTGGATTTGTGTGTAATGTGAGACACACAACGTGTGGGTATGTATTATGTACAGTACATGTCACACGTTACTTATCACTATATGAACTTTCACCACTATGCAAGTTTCCACGCAACGACTGGCCAATAAGAAAACACATTTTAAAGGGAATGTACATCATTGGCTTTTGCTGTAATTTTCAGAAATGAACTATATGAGGGGTTAGTATAATAGATTAAATATTGTTTAACTGACATGTTTGAAGTTTTGTGTTCAAAAATGCTTGAAAAACCAAGAAAAACACAACTGTTTATGTAGTCTGGTTCCCTGACTCCACTAAAGATAAAATGGATCAATTATAGATGTCGGAAAATTGTAAGATAAGGGAACCAGCCTAGCTGGCCTGCACCCGTTCATGAACATGTAACCAATAGCAAACAAAATTTGGACTGAAAAATAGTAGTTGAAAAATAGTTAGGTTTTTCCAACGATGGTCGGCCGACCACCGTTGGAAATGTATACAAAAATACCATTTTCTTGAAAATGACTCGACACCAGGTGCCGTGATTTTACAGGATGCTTTAGACTGTCATTTACCAACATCCTAGTAAGGTATTTCATAAAAACTTGGTAGTTTGATTTTTTGATGTTTGCAAATGTTGTATACTCCCTGTAAGGTCAGCTTAGGCTATTAGCATAATGAGCACCACCCCAAAAACCTTTTGCGGACGATTGGACCAAGGCATTTGTCTGGATCCAAATGATTTGCCTAAAATAGTGGTCGCATGAGGTGGCTGTTCGCACTGTATTTTTAATTAATGCACTGCATAGCGAGCATATGCCGCCGATAGTTTACCGCGTACGGACGAATAATGACGAAAGCCTTGACCAAGGCTAAATCACCAACCATTACTAAATCATATTACTTTGAATCTTATCTCACGCTTGTACTGAAACATTTGTTATTGAAAGCGTGACTCCAGTCATACCTGTCTAATAAATAAAGTACAAAAATATCAAACTGTTCCATGGCTCCCACTTGTTCCAGTTTTACTCTGCAATACACGTACTCTTTAAAAAGTACTCGTAGTCATGAAAAAGTACTCGAACACAACACTCTCTGATCGAGCTTGTTTTTTAATAACCAGGTTCTCAAAGACAAGTACTTTTTAAACATCTTTTATGGCACATGAAATTTCAGTTTTTTATTGTTATTTTTTAGAACTTTGTCAGTAAGCTTACCTGCAATGACTGCCGATGCCATGTTGCCCATGGAAACGCACACCAGTCCCACACCAAACCCACCGGGGTATCTCTCTTTACCTACAATGCGACGGATGATGGCTGCCTGCATGGGGATGTAGGCACCAGCCGACATGCCAATCAACACCGTGCTGACCACCAACCAAGCGTAGCTCTCGACCGACGCAATGATTGGAGCGGCTATGGTTGATAAGGCAACGAACGCGGCATACACATAGGCTGGCTGCATCAAGTTAGCATCCAAAAGTCTGCCGTGCGTGGGTCTACTCAAGAGGTTGCCAATACCGTTGACAGAGACCAACAACGAGGCTTCGAACTCAGGAATGCCGACGGACTTTGCGCGGGCCGCGATGTAAGGCAAGGTGATACCATAAATTGACGCACAAGCCACGACTGACACCATGAAGCTGCTGAAGACACGGTTAGTCCAGAACAGGGAGAGCCCGGAGTGATGCAAGAATTCCTGGACTCTCTCCCAGCAAGTTGGCTTCATCTCTGACTCGCAATTCTGACTCGGCGATTGTTCAATGAAAACCGTGCCTTCGTCGTCATTCCCAGCTCTGAAGGAAACTTTGCTAATGTTCCGATTTAATGCATCACTGCATGCTGCATCTTCAAACTGGTTGCCACTCAGCGATTGTTCAATGAAAACCGTGCCTTCGTCGTCATTCCCAGCTCTGAAGGAAACTTTGCTAATGTTCCGATTTAATGCATCACTGCATGCTGCATCTTCAAACTGGTCGCCATTGGTCGAAGCCTGCCTCTCCAAGCGATACCGAGTTCTTTGACTCACCGTCACACTCCTAATGCTCGAGTTTCTATTTGCCCTCTTTAGGTGTGAATGCTTGGGGGGCCTCATGACCACTGCGCACACCAACACGTTGGCGTGCAACGCGCTGGTGACCAACAGCGCCCTCTGCCATCCGTACTGGTCGATCAGGAAGCGGAAGAAGATTGGCAGTACCACCATGCCGGCGCTGGCCCCCGACATGGATACACCAGTAGCCATGGCGTGATGCTTGTGGAAACATTCACTTATTACGACCATCACACCTGTGTATGTCAACCCAAAACCAATGCCTGCAGAAAACAGAAATTAAACCATTTCTCAATGTCATCTTTGTACTATTTAAGGGTTTTTTTTTGGGGGGGGGGGACAAAAACATCAGTCAACCACCTTTTCGGGACCAAGGTGCAATTTTGGACGACTTAGATTTTGAAAAGTGCAAAATTGTAAAGCTTTAGGGGCAAAATAAGGAAAATTTGGGGTGTTTCATGGGAAAAGAAACTTTTGTTAAATATCACGGGAATATTAACTGAGGCATCCAAGAAAGTTCAAGAAAATGTCTAAATTTGCACACTTACACGTACCACAATACTTTATGAAGTGGAGTTTTTGGGGAAAAAAATTTCAACCACAAAATCTGCAGGGTCAGCAAACAGCTGTTAACGTCACGTACCTGCCATAAACGGGATCGTAATAAACAGGACGAAGATTTGCTGGGCAAATGACGCACTCAGGAGACCTGCAAAAGACAGGACGCTGCCAGCTACCACCGTCCGACGAACTCCAAAGTAGTTGACCAGAGCTCCACCGACAGGCGCTGAAGAGATTGAAAACAGAAACGTGGCTAAAAATAACTGAAACAATACTTATCCATAATTCGTCACCGACACCACGAAGTAACACCCATCTACATACCAGTAAAAACTAGCAATCGGAGAAAACGGCAACTTAAGTTGAACGCCTTCTAAAACAACACTTTGCGTCAAAACGACAGAGTATTTTCAGTTGGGTTTCTCGTTGTGGACACTTGATGAATTGAATTTATTAAATCTGCTGTTTTTCACTCGTTTGTGTATTAAATAAACAAGAAATAAGAGAAAAAAGATGAGTGTTAGTTCGTGAAACCGAAAAAGCTGCGAAACTGTAAATTTTCGTTTTCACGAAGTACATGTAACACTCTTCAATGTATTTAACATGAGGAAAGTGCAACTTCAGGTCAGCGCGCGCGCGCTCATACAACTTGTTACAAGAAGAGTGTTACTTCGTGAAAACGTTTTTGCTCACTTATGAGTAGAGTGCGCGCCATGCATTGCAATGGAAAATGGAACTTGAGTGTTACTTCGTGAAAACGAAAATTGTCACTTTTGCGCAAAAGTTGCCATGGATACTTAGCGTAATTATTAAAGTAAAGCTCTTGAAGCTTTGAAACTTCGTGCAATGGTAGGCCTTGATGAATAATGTTTAAAAATCAAAAAAACTGAAAATTGAAAAAAATATGCTTTAACACGGTAGAGTGTTACTTCGTGGTGTCGGTGACGAATTGTATGTGTTTCGTCCCTTAACCACTTGCCGGCGGTTTTTAAGCCTCACTGCACATGCGTACATGCATCATTGCATAGAGCCTCTGCACAGTAGCGGCATCACACATGCCTAGCAGCTGCCAACAGATGAAATTCCACGGCTGACCACAGCTTTCCGGGTGAGCTATAGCTGTCAGCCGGCGTCAAGAGGTTTAATGTAGTGCCTTCCCTAATTTGCAAACTGTGATTTTTCTCCTCTAGAGTCTGGCCAAGGAAGAAGTGTTCTTCAAATTTCATACAACTTGAGTTTTCTGAACTGGAGTAATGTTACGAGTGAAAAGTTTGTTTGCAGTGACTTTTCCAATTTATTTTGAAGTGCGCAGTGACCCTTTAAAAGGGGTCAAAAATTAAGGAAACATTTTTCCAACCAAAAGAATATATTGGCCTTATTCAAGAGTCGGCCATATTGAATTGAAAGTTGGGGAAAATCGTAAATATTTTGGAACTTGCGAAGAGAAATGAAAGCAAGTTAATTTATAATAAATTCCGGTCTGCTTCAATGAATAATGTACAATTTGTAATTACACATTCCCTAATGTTTAAAGCCATATTTAAAAAAAAAAATGACAGTAAAATAAGGCTGCATTGTGCCTGCATAAATAGCCTGGTGCCATCACATTTAATTTAACAATTAATGAAATACATTCAGGGAACTCAACGAAAATGGCCGTCTCGTGAATAAGGCCCATGGATATACTGAAGTGGAGTGGGGAAGACACCAGTTCATGTGAGTATGGCGCAAAGTACAGAAAGACCAATTTTTAGTACACAAACCCCTTAGATCTTCAGATGCCGTTAGCAATGTGCTCAGATGGTGCACCCAAAGGTTCCCAAACTGTGGATTTTTTTTGTCTTGGTGTTTCTGAGTTTGAAAATTTGGGACTCTCAATACTGCGTTTGAGAGTCACAAATCTTGAGATACGAATGTAGTAAAAACATGCAACACAAGAAAATAGACTGGCACCTGAAACAACCAGTCCAACACCCGTACTGCATCAATCGACTGTGTCAAAAGAAACATCTGGTACCTAGTCTCTATTTGTACACATTCTCTATAGTCATGCCACCTGACTACTGAAGGGTCAATCTTTTCGCAAAGTTGGACATGTACCAGTCTAGTCTTAGGCTTCAAATTGAAATCACTTGGCTTCTCTCTCAGGTGCAAAATGCTGAAGAAACGTAGCATTTGAAAATTGAATTGAGACCTCAAACCACAGATAGAGCAAGGAACTTGCTCTGTGCTCAAACTTGGCTTGTGAAATGCAGAGGATCTTGTCTTTGCCTCATGAAAATTTTTAGAAAATGTTGTAAGCTAAAGAGTGAGTAAAGTTGGCTTGATTTTGGTTTTGCATGTTTTTCTGCCCACAAGGTCCCAGTCTGGGTTTTTTTCTGTCTACTTACATGAGCAAAGAAGCATAGCCAGCATTGAGGTGGATAGCCAGCCAACCAACGCCGAGCTCTGCGGGAACTCTTTATGCCACTCTATGTAGAACACCCCCATGGAACTGGCCAAGCCATGCGTCAAACTGGTAGCCACAAAGCTGACCAGAAGAACTGGCCAGTAGCGGGCTTCGGAATCTCCTTCAAGGGTAGGCATTATGCTGCGAGCAAGAATATCAACTTTAAGAATTAGCGACGTAACACCATTTAGTATAGTATATTATGTCGTATTTTTGACCTTTGCATTTTTTTTGGCTAAAGAAGGAATTTTTGTCATTTTTGGATAGAGTTTACCTTCCTCAGCCAGAAATCCATTGGTAACATTTTTTTCCATGTACCATGTGGCGGCCATCTTGGATTTCAAAATGGCGTCCATTTCGGACCTAATTTGTATCATAACTTCGGACCTGACTGTCACATGAAGTCCATTTTGGTGGCAAACCCTATGGTTTTGATACCAAGGAACCCACGAAAATCATTGTTGAAGGGGTACTCCCAATGGATGGCAGCCATCTTGGATATTTCAAAATGGCCGCCATTTAGTACCTAATTTGTATCATAACTTCAGACCTGATTGTCATATGAAGTCCATTTTGGTGGCAAACCCTATGGTTTTGATACCAAGGAATCCAAGTAAATCATTGTTGATGGGATACTCCCAATGGATGGCAGCCATCTTGGATTTTTCAAAATGGCCGCCATTTAGTACCTAATTTGTATCATAACTTCGGACCTGATTGTCATATGAAGTCCATTTTGGTGGCAAACCCTATGTTTTTGATACCAAGGAATCCAAGTAAATCATTGTTGATGGGATACTCCCAATTGATGGCAGCCATCTTGGATTTTTCAAAATGGCCGCCATTTAGTACATAATTTGTATCATAACTTCGGACCTGATTGTCATATGAAGTCCATTTTGGTGGCAAACCCTATGTTTTCGATACCAAGGAATCCAAGTAAATCAAATTTGACGGGGTAGTCCCAATGGATGGCAGCCATCATGGCCACTTAAAAATAACCGCCATCTTGGATTTCATTTAAATAATAACTTACGTTGCACCTGAACGTTCGTATGAAGTCCATTTTGGTGGCAAACCCCATTAATTTGATACCAAGGAATCTAAAAAAATACATTATTGATGAAGTATATCCTCGATGGATGGCAGCCATCTTGGATATTTCAGAATGAGCGCCATTTTGCAGTTCAGTTTTGTGGTTAAATTTGGCATATCACGTCTTCATGCCTTGACGAGAATTTTTGAGAAATGGAAGCATTTTATATCTGACCCCTGGTGACCTTTGTGAAGGGTCAATGAAGGGGAAGAATGTAGAATCCACATGCCACTTCAGCGGTTGTGTACAAAGTCTATGGAGAGTCAAGAAAGTTTTTAAAGTATTTTCTTAACAAAATTGGAAATGATATATTATGAAAAAAATTGATGTCAAGATGCAACATCTTTTCCCAATGAACTTTGTATACCCTAATTGCCACTATTCATATAATCTTCCAAATGCCACTTTTCATTACCTGCGTCTAAATAGTGAAAAAGAAGTGTTTTCTAACAATTATTCTATAGTGTGTAATGATTCAGACCCAAAGACAATTTTGTCATGACTTCTGATCTCCATTTTCCTGCTTTAAGAATATAAGAGGTACATTGGACAAGCATTACACTCTGTAAAAAGGTTAAAAATGTGGTTACTCAAGTCCATCTGGATATAACAGAGTGTAATAAGAACACAATAATGAATACTGCTTGACATTTGTATATATATTCCATTGCATTCCAATTGGGGCATGTTGAGTCTGTCATTAATTTAAAAAAAAGAAAAGAAAATTGAGTTCAGAGGTCACCTCAAAATTGTTTGTGCATGGGGTCTGAATTCAATACATGACTATGGAATAAATATGATAGATATCGACAAATAAGGTATACAAAGTTCGTTGACCTCTCCAAGGTATCAGACGTCAGATATGATGCCCTCACATCGTGAAAAAAGTGGCATTTACCCGAGATAATCTTATAAATATCTAAAGATATGTCATGACCTCTCGAAAGGTAACCAGAGGTTAAATATGAATAGTCTTACATGTATATATGAATAATTTCTTTTCATAGCATAAAATTTTGACTTAGATCGTGAAAAAGTTGAGGTTTAAATAGTAAACCTTACAAATGGCTATAATTAAGGTTTACGAAGGTCATTGGACTTTCAAAGGTCACTGAAGGTCAGACATGAGTTGTTCCCAAATCTGATCATTAATTGCATTGCATGAAGACCTATGACGTAGACTTGGGACATAGGAAAGTGAAGCTTTGAAGAATAATTGTTAAAGGTTCTTGACTCTCAAAGGTCACCAGAAGTCAAATATGAAATGCCTCTTATATTTAAAAAATGTTATTCAAGGCATGAAAAACCAACATGCGAAGTTTAATTCATAATTGTATCACAGATTGCACAATTCTTGGTATTATTGGGGCTATGCCGCTCCACTACAAGTACGTGTGAATGCTGTCTATAGTTAGCAATAAGTCCACTTCAGGTTGTTTGTATGCCTGGGTTTCTTTTTGTTCGTAAGTGGCTCTCTGCATCAACTGCATCACATGCCCAGACAACCCTGGTCCTGTCGTGGCTAGGCTAGATATGAAAGGAGAGTCACAACTTTTGGTGACTCGACTCGACTCAAGTCCCTAAGGGTAAATGACTGGACTCGAGTCACGGCGAGCAAATGAATCGACTCGACTCGAGTCCTCATCAGAAGACTCGAATCGATTCAAGCGAAGGATAATTAGGCTCGAGTCTCAAAAATATAAGCAAAAGTTTGCGAAAAATAATTGCAATGACGTACAGTGCAACATTTATGTTCATGCCGCTTTGCGAATACAGTTACAGCGGCCGCTTGTAATGTCCACGTGTCACAGACTCCCATACTACATCATATCATCATTATGGAACGCACAAAATACTATCCACCGAGAAGACGGATTTTGAACACATTTTCCAATTTGTTGTTTCATCATTGGCTTTGGGCGGTTTCTTATGAAGTTCTTGGATTCAAACGCCGGCTAAATTGATGCCCTCCTTTTAAAAAATTAAACAGAAACATACCGACTTTTTAAATAATCAGAAACAGTTTTGTATTGCAATTTGGTTTTGATGTCAGCGTATCAGCGAAATAAAATCAAGACCCGAAGCCAAACCAGATAGCCTTGATAAGATCGAAGTTTCACTTCTTGTTAACTGTTAGTGATACTAATGACTTTCCCTCTTGTCTTTGTTATGTGGTTTTCAAATATTCGTAACTCGAATTGACTCGAGGTAAATATTTGACTCAACCCGACTCGACTCAAATTTCTTAAACTGATGACTCGACTGGACTCAACTCACTTCTTTAAAATGACTTGGCTCGACTCGACTCGACTCGAGTCACAAACATTTGTGGCTCTTTACAACTCTGATTCACACCAATTTCAGTGCTATCAGGTGCCTGGGAAAACGGTTGAACACAGTGGTTTAGACCAAGTCTGCATGGGTTGCTTCTGATCTGTACAGTCAGGTTACAGTCAGTCCAATCATATCTAGCAGTCATTATTATCGTGCCGTTGATCATAATGAGGTAATAACACTCCAACTATTGTTCCAAGTGGTTTGAAACATTCTTCCCAGAGAAACCTGCCTTCCATCGGGGTAACAATGTGTAGATTCCTTGATATCAAATTTATGGGGTGTGCCACCACAATATCCAAGATGGCTGCCATCCATTGCGAGTATTCCGTCAACAATGATTTACTTGGGTTCCTAGGTATAAAAAATATGACGTTTGCCACCAAAATGGACTTCGTACCACAGTCAGGTGCAACATTATTATTTGAATGAAACTCTAGATGGCGGCTATTTTGAAATATCCAAGATGCTGCCCTCCATTGGGAGTACCCTGTCAACACTGATTTACTTGGGTTCCTTTGTATCAAAAACATGGGGTTTGCCACCAAAATTAACTTCATATGACAATCAGGTCCGAAGTTATGATACAAATTAGGTACTAAATGGCGGCCATTTTGAAATATCCAAAATGGCTGCCATCCATTGGGAGTATCCCATCAACAATGATTTACGTGGGTTCCTTTGCATCAAAAACATGGGGTTTGCCACCAAAATGGACTTCATATGACAATCAGGTCTGAAGTTATGATACAAATTAGGTCCGAAATGGCGGCCATTTTGAAATATCCAAGATGGCTGCCATCCATTTGGAGTTTCCCATCAACAATGATTTATGTGTGTTCCTTGGCATTAAAAACATAGGGTTTGTCACCAAAATGGACTTCATATGACAATCAGGTCCGAAGTTATGATACACATTAGGTTCGAAATGGCGGCCATTTTGAAATTCAAGATGGCCGCCACATGGTAGATGGAAAAAAATGTTACCAATGGATTTCTGGCTTAGGAAGGTAAACTCAAACCAAATATGACAAAAATTCCTTCTTTAGCAAAAAAAAATGCAAAAGTACATAACAGCCTATACTAATTACAGTTGTCCCAGAAGGGAAAAACATAGAAACATTGCGTCAAAAGTTCTATGAACAGGGCCAGATGAAAACAAAAAACCTCAAATTTGACAAATGTATTCAGTGACACCCGGTTATCCCGTAATTGACCTATCGTGGTAGAATCGCATTAGAATCGCATCAACGCAGCTTGTGAAATATTGTCTAATTACATGATATAAAAATGGACGCGGAACGCGCAAACTCTGAGACAAACAAAACATAGTGTACAAAACTTCCATAGGGTTGTCTAAGGGGCATGGCTAACTCGCAAACGGTGATTGGTCAATTTTCAGGGGAAATTTGGAGAATTTGTTTCTTTCCAGAATGAATGAAGGATTTTTGGAATTTGATTTTTATGGTTTTTTTTAACCAGGTAAGTGGCTTCCATAGTGGAAAAACAGTCAAATTTCAAATTCAGGGAGCACAATTTTAACTTTTGAAAGGAAATATACAGCACACATGACTGTGGCTGTAGCTGAGGAGGAATACCAGTATTTGAGATACACTATGGATGGGTCTTACAAAACCAACACAATGCAATGATTCTACTGTGACCGCAAATTAAACTGCAACTTAAATATTTGAATTGAAGTCTTAATGGAGAAGGCTAGTTTACAAATCAATATCATGGTTCAGCGCAAATGTGGACCTCATGCAAATTTATTGTTTTATTCCTGAGTGCAATATCTTATGAATTTGCTCATTTGAACTGCGCATGCTTTATAAATAAGGAAAATAAAATTAGGCCTAGTAAAGTACAGTTGTTTTCCTACTTGTGGATTTTTCCTAGTTCCGGATCACTTCGAATAATAACCTACCTCTTATGAATTGGTCTCCAATACTTTTTTTTTTGAAGTGCATTTTAACAAGGAAAATGTAAGCTTCTTGATACACTAAGACCTACCCCCTAGGCCCTTTTTGCTAAGAACCATCCTCAGTCCTCCAAAATCCTCCAAAATTTTCAACTCCGCCTACATTTTTCAAAATTGTCAGACAGTCCTGCCTCAAAATGCATTCATCGTCAATCCTCCAAAATCCTCCTCAACCCATAATTTTGCACTCGTGTTTAAATGAAGGATAACCAACGCCAAATCCTTCAAAATCATCCGACAGTCCTGCCTCAAAATGCATTCACCCTCAATCCTCCAAAATCCTCGTGCTTCAATCACCATTCATCCTCAATCCTCCAAAATCCTCATGTGCTTCAATCACCATTCATCCTCAATCCTCCAAAATCCTCATGTGCTTCAATCACCATTCATCCTCAATCCTCCAGAATCCTCATTTGATTCAATCACCATTCATCCTCAATCCTCTAGAATCCTCCAAAACCGCCAGGAGGATTTTGGAGGAGTGAGGTGGGTTAGGGTTATGATAAATTCTCTAGAAAAGGAATTTTGGCCAGATTTCTGACTCGCACTTTGACATGTTTGGACGGTTTGTAGAAATCACAGGAGCCGCGAATCAACGATAATTTTCTCCTCGATAAACCACTCCGACCTTGTGATTTCAAATATTTTGTTCGTCCTCTACAGTCGTATAAATTCTTGCATCGAATGTTTGTTGAATCAAATTAAGTTGTAGAGTCTCTAACTTGTTTTTGCCTCATTCCGGATTGCACTTGCATGTAGGACCCAACTACTACTCGTTAGTCAATTTTATGTGACGTATTCTGTGATGGGTCAAAGGTTTTCAGTCTGTGCGTGTTCGTGCCGTCGCGCTGCAGACGTAAGTTTCAAAATCATTTACGCTAATTCTCTTTTTAAAATTTACTGGAATTCTCTCGAATGAACTGTTTTTAATTTAGTAATACTTTATCAGAAAATGTGCTTGATTCGGAGTGGTTCGGTCTGAAAAATGGATTTTCTCACGTGATTTGTTTTTTCGTGCGAAGCGGTTTTTGATCGATTCTGAACTGATTAAACCGATCCAGAACTAGTTAAAGTGGCATGGGTACTTTTTAGGTCGCAAAGTCAAATTAAAAGAGCTTAATGTGGAAAATTATTTTGTAGTATCTCTATCATTCAAGTTAAACCTATTACCCAATGTCACTTGGATTCGTGGAGTATTTGAGCCGAAAGCAGCCTGCATGATGTTTGCCATCCGGAACTTGGAAAACAACTGTACATTTACATAGCACAAGTAGGAGCTACATGTAGGTATAAAATAGGCTTACAAAGTTTTTTTAGCCTATAAACAAAATTGTTAGGCCCAACTCATAAATGCAAACTTGCAAAGTTAAAACACTCAAAATCATCCAGTTTATGTAGGCCTACATAACTGAACTGATATTGACAAACAAACAAATTACCGTCACAACCACATCCACTGCAGAGTCCAAAGTGGTAGATGCAGACTGCACATTCACCAGGCCGAGAATACACGTATTTCCTATTGGGCAATAAATTCCACGGGGCTGGTTCGTTGAAATTATTTGCATCTGGATCAGGCCTCGCTTTAAAACCATGCAGCTCTGGTCCTTGCTCTTTGCTCTAAACACACCAGGCCACAGTTGTCACACACAGATCGACAATCAGTAACACATCAATAGTCAGCAAGTAATCCAGCCAGCCTGTGTGGATTCAATTATGAAATATTAGCTCTTAAAAAGATTACCATTCACACTGAAGCATGCATGACTGATTCCGGACGTAGATACCCCGTGCGTGTATGTATGCATTCACACATATTAAAATGTACATTTTACATTACATGTATGCAAACGTACATTCTGTGCCAAGTTGTCCTTGCAGTCAAAATCACTTAAGTGGCTGTTTTCAACCATGTCAACTCATAAGCAGGATTGACTGCCTTGGTCATATTGTTGGTCATGTTGATCTAGGGAGTAACTCCAGCGGACATGCTCAGCAATTCCTGATGAGCATGTCAGCTGGTAGCCCAGGTTGGACGAAGTCTTCATTGCATTACGACTGACGTCCAGGATGAGAATGCTCTACATAAGACCACCCAAAATTTGGACCAGATTTTTGTTACGTTTTACCTCGTTACGGAAGCTTATTTCACGCCTACATTTTCTATGTGTCCTTCTCTATTGATCCAGGGGTTCAGAAATTCCATATGTGATGCTGACCGACATTAATCAGGAAAATAAACTCTAAAGCAACGTTAAACTTGTACGCGTTTGTAGTCTCTTTTCATCAGTTTTATTCCCGAGTCGTACGTCATGTACGTGCGCACGAAAGCACGCACGCACGCTAGCGCCCTCATTTGTTTAGTTTTGGTTGGAACAGTGACGTCACTTCAGCTAACCGACGTCACGAAAACGCTCAACCAATGACCAAAGCCGAAACATGTTTCTGGTAACTGGCACGAAACACGCTCGGTCATTGGATTAGCGACCCCGCCTTCAAGTAAGTGCGCGTGCGTATGAGGGTGGTTACTAAGCAAATCGCGCGTGCGCACTGCATATTCACGCTGCATAGTCTGGCTCCCAGACCAGACGTGATATGTGCGCCGAGAATAATTGTCAGGTCTAGGGAACCAGACTACACGCTGCACGGACGTACGTCATGTACGACTAGAATAGACTCGGCGGTGAGAAACTGATGAAAAGAGTCTACAAACACGTACAAGTTTAACGTTGCTTTAGAGTTTAATTTCCTGATTAAGGTCGGTCAGCATCGCAAATGGAATTCCTGAACCCAGCGGCCCAATAGATAAGGACACATAGAATACTACGACGTAAAAATTGGCTTCTCCATCAAGGTAAAAATATTGAAAATATTGGTCATAAATTTTTTCGCCCGGTTTTGAGCACTTCATACCCTGGACTCCCTCCGTTACGTAGGGAGGAAAGGGAGTCCACCTGGGCTAGTCAGCTGGTAGACCTGAGGGTCTAGTCAGCTGGAGTTACTCAAGCTAGCCATGCTACTTTGCTAGCTCTTGGACTGCTAATACTGTAAGCTTAGTAACTTGATACCAGCTAGCCCCATAAATATGGCCAATTTACTGGACTACCTCCGTAAATAAAGGCCACACTTGGAACATGTACAAAAATATGTAGAACTTTGTCAAATGTTGATTTTCACATTTAGGCTTAGTTTGTAGTTTATTTTTGCCTTAGAATCATACTCCCCCTCTTTATACTTTTTAATTATAGTCATGTTCCCTAACATGGCGCACTTCGAAGCTTACCCAACTTTCCTTGTGTAGTGTTGCCAAATCTCTTTGTTGATAAACCTCAAATTCATGCAGTGAAATACTGGTACTTTTACCTTTTTAATGCTTGCTATTTAACCTCTGTGAACAATTTCGGTTTCACAAAATTTCATCCGAAATGCAAAAACGGTCGCGTCCGGAAATTGGGCACAAATTGGCGGAGTGTTCCCTAACGTGGCGCACTTGAATAAATCTCGGCAAATTCCAAATTAACATTTAGGAATTTCTGTAAACTTGATAAATTCTGATAAATCATTATTATTTTAACTTACAAACCCAGCCAGATGTTTGTCAGAAAATTATTTTTTTATTTTTCGGGGCATTTTCAAAGGGTTCACTTTGCACTTGAAAATAAAATCGGAAAATCACGCCAAAATTATTTTTTCTTTTAACTTTGTAACGGGTAAATAAACTCGTGATTTATCAACGGGAGTGTTTAGAACTTGATGAAATTTCACTTTCTGTGAAATTTCAGTTAAAACTTTTGCTCTAGCTAGGCGCTACAGGCGAAAAATCAAAGTGCGCCACGTTAGGGGCCGCGCCACGTTAGGGTACATCAACAATATAGGCTAATCAGAAAGTGCTGCCTTTTTCAGCTGTTTACTTTTCGTGAAATTTCATGTTGAAATTTTGATGTATGCAAACGTGTGCAAATGAATCTGGAAATTTCACGAAAAATAGATGTCTGAAAAAGGCAGCACTTTCTGATTTGACAAAGTTTGACATGTTTTTGCACATGGTGGAAGTGTGGCCTTTATTTACGGAGGTAGTCCAGTAAATTGGCCACATTTATGGGGCTAATAAAGAGGGCGAGTATGCTTCTAAAGCAAAAATAAACTACAAACTAAGCCTAAATGTGAAAATCAACATTTGGGCACAATTGCAGAATACCCCGCCACTATCCCACCTCGTATCCGGATACGCGGATACGGAGTCACGCTTGGATGCTCAACCAAAACCACACGCGTGTGCCACCCCGTATCCCCGTATCCGCGTATTATTATTTGACAAAGTTCTACATGTTTTTGTACATGTTCCAAGGGTGGCCTTTATTTAAGGAGGTAGGCCCCAAGTCCAGTAAATTGGCCACATTTATGGGGCTAGATACCAGCCATCATGGCCATGGAGGGAACCCACTGCAGGACAGCAAGAGTGGAGAGTGATATAACAGCTGTGACCACAACTTGCCTGCTTTGTAACCGACTGTTCACCCAGTTTGGGTTTGACCATCACTCCCATCAGACCATGATCGTCAGCCTGTTTTCGACGCATCAAGTTTTCGAGGTTTGATTCGTAGCACTAGCAGTAGCACACAACCAGTTGATTTGTTGTGTGATAAAGGTCCTGTCTTTTGTGGGCACTCCCTTTTGTGTTGTAAAACTCTTGCTTTCATTCACATTAAAAAATAATCCGACGATGGTGTGGCCGTGCAAAAGTACGACGCGACGCTAGCCCAGGTGTACTCCCTTTCCTCCCTACGTACGTTCAGTCGTAATGCAATGAAGACTTCGTCCAACCTGGGCTAGACGCGACGCCTAGGGGCTAGGTACGGTAGGCGGGAATGGTTTTTACAATGATCTCAACTTTTATATTCAGCGTTCATGTTTGACTAAAACATCACATGAATAAAGTCTGATATATTCCCTGAAAAGTTCAAACTGATTAAAGACGATTAGGCCGACGCAGCAGTGATTTCTTAAATCACTCTGGCCCCGGAATTTGGAAACAAAATTCACTGAGACAAGTCTACTGCAGTAGTGGTTGACGATTAGGGGGCGCCATTCACTTTACACGGTGCGAAGTTTTATGGTTGCAGACCAGTGAATACATTTCTATAGACCCCTGGCCAATGATAAATGCCCCCACTTCAGAAATTCAGGAAAAATACTCACAACTCTCTGAGGTGTTCAAGACGTACATCAAATAAAAGCTTATTTCATCATCTTTCATTTTCTGTTCAATTTTTGGGGGGTTAACCAATGACTTTTGGGAGAAATCATCCAAAGATGATCACCCCTAAAAGCCCATCGCCATGATGGACGCCTGCGCTCCAATGCAAAAATTGCAATTTTAGGGCCTAACCAACATCCACACTTTCTCAGAAATACGAGCTCGCAGTCTTCTGCACGGCTTCAAGGATTTCCTTAATGAGAACCATTAAGGATTTATGTAAAAATAGAGACGATATATATACCTTTCAGCAGACAAGGTGAGCCGGGAAAATTGCAAGTTTTGGAAAACTTGAACTTGAATATTTGAAAAATCATGAAAAGTCCTGAAAAGACTGTGGGCTACCGACTCGCACAGTTTACCAATCCGGGGATTTCTAAACCTAGTTGCAAAGGGTGCCGACGTCAAAAGTCACGTGTCGCCGCGTCTGTACCTCCCCCACCCGCGCGCTCCGATGAATGAAGGTCGTTGGTGACAACCTGGAGCTCGCAACCTCCAACCCCATGATTGATGATCTGAGAACACCAATTTAAAATACATATAAAACTCCGGTTACAAAGGATGCTGACGTCAAAAGTCACGTGTCGTCGTCAGTACCTCTCTCATCCCCTGCGCTCTGGTGACGAAAAAAAAAAAATTAACGTCGCTGGTGACAACCTAGGGCTTGAACCTCCAACCCGCAAGATTGATAATTTGAGAACGGCTCTCTACCGACTGGGATACCGGCTCGCGCTTGCCAAGGCGGGAATTTATAAACATCCGGTTGAAAGGGTGGTGACGTCAAAAGTCAGGTGTCTTCGTCAGTACCTCCCCCACCCCCTGCCAACAAAAATAAAAGTCGCTGGTGACAACCTAGGGCTCGAACCTCAAACCCCAAGTTTGAACATTATAATAAAAAATCTGTAAACAGAGTAAATAAATGAGCATGGAAATAAAACAAATTGAATCATGTGAAAGATGAATTTTGAAAGTATTGAGAACGGCCTTCTACCGATCGACCGTTTGGCTACAGGCTCGCACTTACCAAGCCGGGCATTTATAAACCTCCGGTTGCAAAGGGTGGTCACGTCAAAAGTCACGTGTCGTCGTCAGTCGCCTCTCAATACCCCCCTGCTCTGACGAAAAAAATTAAACGTTGTTGGTGACACCCTGGGGCTCGAACCCCCAACCCCGAGATTGACGATCAGAGAGTGCAACTCTACCGACTGGGCTACCGGCACGCACTACCTATTAAGCCGGGAATTTATAATATATAATTATAAACCTCCGGTTGCAAAGGGTGGTGACGTCAAAAGTCACGTGTCTTCGTCAGTCGCCTCTCAACCCCCCCCCCCCCCCCCCCTGCTCTGACGAGAAAAAAAAAATGTTGTTGGTGACAACCTGGGGCTCGAACCCCCAACCCCAAGATCGATGATCAGAGAGCGCCACTCTGCCGACTGGGATACCGGCTCGCACTTATCAAGCCAGGAATTTATTATGTAAACCTCCGGTTGCAAAGGGTGGTGACGTCAAAAGTCACGTGTCGTCGTCAGTCGCCTCTCGGCCCCACTCTGACGAAAAAAAAAATAGATGTTGTTGGTGACAACCTGGGGCTCAAACCCCCAACCCCGAGATTGATGATCAGAGAGCACCACTCTACCGACTGGGCTACCGGATCACACTTATACCGAGCCAGGAATTTAAAAAATATTTACACCTCCGGTTGCAAAGGATGGTGACGTCAAAAGTCAAGTGTCGTCGTCAGTGTTCCCCCAACCCACACGATAAAAATAAATGTCGATGGTGACTTCCTTGGCCTCGAACCTCCAACCCCAAGATTGATGATTTGAGAACAGCACTCTACCGACTGCCTACCGGCTTGCACTTGCCGATCCGGGAATTTATAATATATTTACACCTCCGGTTGCAAAAGGGGGGGGGGAGGGGGGGGGGTTCGTCAAAAGTCACGTGTCGTCGTCCGTCCTCCCAAAACCCCCTCAACTGTGACGAAAAAAAATTAATGTCGTTGGTGATTACCTGGGGCTCGAACCTCCAACCCCGGCAAGATTGATGATTTGAGAACAGCACTCTACCGACTGCCTACCGGCTTGCATTTGCCGATCCGGGAATTTATAATGCAAAAGGGGGTTTCGTCAAAAGTCACGTGTCGTCGTCTTTCCTAGCTCCCCAACCCCTTAACTTTGACGGAAAAAAACTAAATGTCGTTGATGACTGGGTTATTAGCTCGCTCTTAGTCTTATCGAGCCGGGAATTCAAAATATACACCTCCGAATGCAACGGATGTGGCGACCTCAAAAGTCACGTGTCGTCGTCAGTCCGCCCCAAACCCCCTCAACCGATTATCTGACGAAAAAAAAAGAGTGAATGTCGTTGGCTGCATGGGGCTCGAACCTCCAACCCAAGATTGATGATTTGAGAACTACCGACTGGACTATTGGCTCGCTCTTACTGAGCCGGGAATTTAAAATATATTTGCACCCCCGTCCTCCGGTTGCAACGGATGTGGTGACTTCAATTCAAAAGTCACGTACGTGTCGTCGTCAGTCCTCCCCAACAACTCTGACGAAAAAAAAATGTCGTGGTGACTGCCTGGGGCTCGAACCTCTAACCCTAAGATTGATGATTTGCGAACGGCACTCTACAAACTGGGGCCGGTACTGGCTCGCACTTACCATAGAGCTAGGTCCTAGCTCTATGCACTTACCGAGCCGGGAATTGAAAAATAATTTAAACCTCCGTGTTGTTTTTCCCACGAGTGCAATTCCGTGAAGACGACGGGTACGGTAAACAAATGAGGGCGCTATTCATTGTCGCGGTGTTTTTGTGAAAATTTCACGAAATTGTAGTCGAGTCGTACAGTGACCGTCATGCATGACCGTTCATTCAGGACACCTGTGCATGTGACACGTGCCATATTTACACAATAATGTGTGCAGGTACCCGCATATCACTCCATGGCCATAGCAATGACCAGTGAGCCCCACTCCCCACCTGCACCCTGATCTGGAGTAGCCTACTAGTACTACGAAGACGGCATTGCCTGGCTGTATTTTGTAATTTTTGTTTTAGTCACACAAATTGCGGCTCAGCCAGTGGGTGGGCGGATCGAGTGGCATCATTTCATCAGTCAGTGCTGAATTAATTTTTTGTTTTAATTATCTGAGGTGATTCGACAGATCCAGTAATTGATAGGCCTACTACATCCAACTTGGACTGGTCTGCTGGTGGAGTGGTGGTAAGATTTTTTATTTGGATTTTGATTAAACAAACATTCCAACAACTAATTTGGGATATTGTCTGTCATGCTAGAAGAACGACAAACCAGATCCAAAATTTGAGAAAAAAAAGAGATCTAGTGCTCCAGTCAGTGGGTGATAATCTTATATTTTATATAGGCCCCCCTTTTTTGGGGTTCTTTTAAGACTTTTCTGTATTCACAAATCATGCATATGTTTTTAAAGGGAATGTACAACATTTGCTTTTGCTGTAATTTTCAGAAATAAATGGATTTGGAGGATTAGTATGTTGTAGAAAATATTGTTAAACTGACTTGTTTCACGTTTTGGGCTTGTAGACGCTGGAAAAACCAAGAAAACCTATGATGTTCGTTTAGTCTGGTTCCCTGACCGGTAGCCAGTGGCTGACCCCACTTAAAATGAAACAGAGCAATTAATACACTTTGGGAATTGTAGGCTCAGAGAATCAGTCTAGCAGGCTTGTAGGCCTACCCCTTCATCACAGGTGTGCAATCAATTGCAAAGAAAAGTCAGAATAACTAAATACATGAAATATGAAAACTTAGGAACGGTTTTTGAAAAAAAGCCAGTTTTCTCCAACGCTGGTCGGCCGACCATTGTCCAGCGTTGGAAAAATACAGTTTTTCTTGAAAATGTCAGCACACCAGGAGCCACGATTTTAAAGGATGATTTGGACTGTCAGTCCCTAACAATTCAGTAAGGTATTTCGTGATAATTTGATCTTTTCGTTTTTTGATGTTTGCAAATGTTGTATCTTCCCTTTAACATGTTTAATAAAATCCTAGTTTTTATTGAAAATTTCATTTTGTTCTTACTCCTACTCCGTGGCTTGGAGGTTGGATGGATGTTTTCCATTCATTCAATTACGGATCCTCTACACAACGTTAAATGACAAGTTTCCAAAATTTCTGGTTGGAGGCGTGATAACGGCATATACGGCTACTCCTAGAACTATGAGGCTCCACGTAGGAGCCTCAGTCATAGTTCTAGGAGTAATATACTGCTAGGCCTATATATATAGAACATACAATGCGCGTGCGCGAGACTAGATTCGGCACGCGACTGCAGTTAAATTCCTGTCAAGTCTCCCGTGGTTAGATTTCTTGTACCGACTGCGCTACCAGCTCGCACTTACCAAGCGGGGAATTTATAATATATTAAACCTCCGGGCCAGTCTATCTGCAAGGCCACACTTGGAACATGTACAAAATCCTGTCGAACTTTGTCAAATTTTGATTTTCACATTTAGGCTTAGTTTGTAGTTTGTTTTTGCTTTAGAAGCATGCTCACCCTCTTTACAGGCTAATCAGAAAGTGCTGCCTTTTTCAGATGTCTAATTTTCGTGAAATTTCATGTTGAAATTTGGATACGCAAACGTGTGCAAACGAATCTGGAAATTTCACGAAAAATAGACATCTGAAAAAAGGCAGCACTTTCTGATAAGCCTATAAAGAGGGTGAGTACCTGTATGCTTCTAAAGCAAAAGTAAACTACAAACTAAGCCTAAATGTGAAAATCAAAATTTGACAAAGTTTGACATGTTTTTGTACATGGTGGAAGTGTGGCCTTTATTTACGGCGGTAGTCCAGTAAATTGGCCACATTTATGGGGCTAGGCGCGCAAGCTGAGTCTTGCGCACGCACGCGCATTGTATGTTCGCGCACAGGCCGTTATCATGCCTCTAGACAAACCGTTCCGTACACTTTGTACACAAGCTCAGGATCCATGATTCAATTCACCCACAGTTTTTCAGTGTTTTTCATTAACTCTTAATATTTTGTTTTCTTTCTTTTTTTGAAAAAATATTGCAACCTGACGCCACTTTTTTCTTCATATCATCACAATGAAGGTCATTCATTGCAGAAGTGATGATAGACGTGAATCTGGGACTGTGAAACATTTCCAATTTTGTTAGGAAATACTTAGAAACTTTTTATGACTTGCCGTAGACTTTGTACACAATCGCGGAAGTGGTGTCAGGTTGCAACATTTTTTCCTTTTTTTTTTAATGTAACCTATATTATAACATTTGTTGGGGGTTCTTTTAAGAGTTTTCTTTTTGTTATGTTTTTAATTAAATCATATTGTTTATTGAAGAAGATTTCATTTTGTTCTTAGTGATCCATGGCTTGAAGGATTTTTTTTCTAAAGGGAGAACCATTTGGTCGGAGAACCATTTGGTTGAAAGTCTGGTTCCCAGAACCAAAGATTCTGACGTTCATTATTGTCGGGTCAGGGAACCAGACGATCGACTGCCGTAATACTAGCCAATAGTGTTCAAACAAAATTACCCAAGAGGGATTAGGCCTGGATGTTTTCCATTCATTCAATTCGGGCGATTCACAATGCACTGTGCTCCACCAAGAGTTTGCCATACACGAGAGTCAATTTTTCAAGTTTACGGTCGACAAAACATGGCCCATTTGAATGAGTGTCAGCAGACAACTTGAGCTAATTTGTTGTAGATTTGGGCATAGCATTCTGCCACCTTACAAAAAAACACCAGATTGGTACAAAGAAAAGAAAAGGGCAAACAGATACTTGAATCATACCGTTACGAAACTACTGACCGGAAAAACAAACAATGTCAAATGTCCCGCACTGTGAATTTGCCGACCATCTCCCACAATGCACTGGGAAAAAATTAACTCTCCGTGGCAAACTCTTGGTGGCGCACTGCATTGTGAATCGCCCGATTTCATTCACAGAAATATTCGGATTGACCTTTTTTATTTTTGAAAAATATTGACTTGAAGCCTTATGCCTCTCTCCTTCATTACAGAATTTTCGTCTCTAAAACTATAACATGGGAGTAGTCATCCATTGATCTGTTACAACATCCATCCAGCAACTCATTGCCCATCCTGCTTGTTACGTTCCACCAACAACAAAAACATGGCTGAGTCCAGGGGTAAGGTAGTCAGTAGTTGGAGGATTAAAATCCAGATTTTTTAAAATTTGGTTTGAATTTCATTGTTTGGTTTCAATTTTGGAAACCAGATTCGAAACCAACCTTGAACAAAAGCCTTCCATGTTTGTGTGACACAGGCTAAAGAAAACAACTGGAACATCCCCAAATTTGCTCCATGGTCTGTGATTGTGCGGCATTCACTTGCTACTGGTCTTCTTGGCATATGAATAGCCTGCCCATTCGACTTATCAGAGGGTTCCCATCCATGTTTCCAACATTACAGCTCTGGAGTGTTTTTGTAAAGGCCCAGTGGTCATTGAATCCTGCAAACTATACCCAGTCATTGTGAGGGCATCGCATGCAGCACCTATTGTTGGCATGACTTTGAGCTGGATGGCAAGTTCCGGTGAAATCGGATAACCGTTTATTCGGATTACCAAAAAGTAGGATAACCCAATTTTTGAAAAATCTGATTTCTCCCACCACTAGCGGGTAGTGTCCGGATCGCCGTCTGCCTGGTCTGGAACCTGATCTCGTCCATTACCATCGTCTTCTTAAACAAGTGGATCTACACCCGCTACAGCTTCCCCAACCTCAGTCTGACCTGCATCCACTTCCTGACCACCACCCTGGGGCTGTGGGTCTGTCAGTGGTGCAACATCTTCAACCCCAAGAGTCTTCCCTTCCGCAGCATGCTGCCTCTCAGCCTGACCTTCTGTGGGTTCGTGGTGTTCACCAATTTGTCGCTGCAGAGCAACACGGTGGGGACCTACCAATTGGCCAAGTCCATGACCACGCCCTGCATCTTGATCATTCAGACTGTCTTCTACAATAAGTCTTTCTCCACCAAGATTAAACTGACATTGGTAAGTGTTTGTGAACCAGCGGTGTACCCAAGAGGGCGGGGAGGGGCGGGGAAACTTGCTCCAATCGACAATATTTTTTCGTAGTGGCTATTGTTAAGGCAGCCGTAACGCAATGTTCAACTGCTCAATCATTACGGCATTGCAAAAACACCGTTGCGAATCTATATCAACCATCTGTTTCCCTGACCTAATAGTATTCAACGTCAGGATCTTTTGCTGTTGGAACCAGACTATTAATTCAACCGAATGGTTGTTGGACTTTATTTCCCTTTTAAATAAAATCCTCCAAAGCCACTGATGACGAAGAAGAAAATTAAATGTACTTTAACCCTAACCCCCTAGGCCCTTTTTGCTAAGAACCATCCTCAATCCTCCAAAATCCTCCAAAATTTTTCAACTCCGCCAACATTTTTCAAAATTGTCAGACAGTCCTGCCTCAAAATGCAATCATCGTCAATCCTCCAAAATCCTCCTCATCCCAAAATTTTGCACTCGTATTTAAATGAAGGATAACCAACGCCAAATCCTTCAAAATCATCCGACAGTCCTGCCTCAAAATGCATTCATCCTCAATCCTCCAAAATCCTCATGTGCTTCAATCACCATTCATCCTCAATCCTCCAAAATCCTCATATGCTTCAATCACCATTCATCCTCAATCCTCCAGAATCCTCATTTGATTCAATCACCATTCATCCTCAATCCTCCAGAATCCTCCAAAACCGCCAGGAGGATTTTGGAGGAGTGAGGTGGGTTAGGGTTAATAAAAAAAAAGATTTGATTGAAAACACGAAAGTATAGAAATTATTTTAAAAAAAATTGTTTAATTGAGTAGGGCGGCAGCTGTTTCGAACCTGGATCCCAGGCACAGTGTCAAACGTGTAACCAATCAGCTGCTGAAGCGTTCTGGTTGGACAGGTAGTTATAAATGTGATATCGAATCGCAATGGTGATTTTGCAATACCGTAATGTCAGCAGTTGAAAATCGTGTTACGGCTGCCGTAACGATAGCCACTACGTATTTTTAATGCAATGAGAGCAGTAATGCATCAGAGCTGCTTTCAGTAATAAGAAAAACAAAAAAGTAAAACAAAATATAGTTTCATTTCCAGGCTTTTTGAGAAAAGGGAGGAGGTGGCCTTTTGGGGGGGGGGGGGGGCAAGAGGGAGGATTTTCCAAGATGGATTCTTTCATCTTCTTGACTCTCGTTTCTGTTACTTTTGTGTCCAATGGAGCCATTACCATATCTACCAGATTATAACTTGCGTACATAACTACTGCTGGAAGCACACAGCAGACAAAATACATTGCAAATGTATGATTTAAAACATAATGAACAAAAAAAAAGGAGGCGGCCCGGGAAAAAAGGAAGTGGGTGGGGTCGAGAAAGTGGTTTATTGTTTTGCTTGGTGCGATATCCTCCATGCCTTTTAAACATTTTAACGAACTAATGGAAGGAACAAAAGGGGGGCCGCTTTTTCAAAAAATGATCACATTCCCCCTAGACAAGCAAATGTCAACTATAAAATGGACCAAAGTGCATCAGTAGTCCAGTCCTGTGCGTGCTTGAGAATTTACATTGCATGTTGAATTGTTGATAAAATGTGGGTTTTTTAAATGGCAGAAAATATTATTCATAAAATGCTCCCCATTTGTCTTGTCCTTTTCAGGTTCCGATCACTTTAGGAGTTATAACAAATTCATATTATGATGTCAAGTTCAATGTCCAAGGAACTATCTATGCAGTAGTAGGCTTTTTAGTTACGTCCCTCTACCAAGTGGTAAGTTCAGAGTGTTTAATTTTTATTAATTTTAAAGTTGAACCAAAGAAATTGAGTGCAGCAGGGTTTGAACCTGCAACCACTGAATTACAATTCTGGTGCTGTACCAACTGAGCTATCCAGCCCTATGTTGGCAGTTCCCCTTTTGTCAATGTCTTGTTGCGGGGGTGTTGCAGGCCGACTTTGCGACCTCGCATAATTGTCGGTGACTGACTTTTCAAGATTAAGCTGTGCCTGAGCTACGATCATCAGGAACAGATTAGTCGCTGATTTTTTTGCGACCTGAGTGTAACTGCGACAATATTAAGATGATTGGCATCAGTTGGCATTCAGGCTTTGTGAAATTGTACATAACTATTGGCACCTTGTGTGTATACTTATATCAGATTTCCTTCAAAAGTGTTGGAGCCCACTCAGTTCTGTTTTAGTAATGCTTGTTAATCTAATTGTGTTCAGTGGATAAGGCCCATTCTATGCGTTGTGCTACTGCTGTACCGAACTCAACTAATTTGACTTTTTAAAGTTCGGCACAGCGATAGCACTGCATTTAGAGCCATTGGGCTCGGCAATTTGAGTTCGCCAGGGCACCATCCTTTGGCTCAACATATGGGGCTATCATCGTTCTGAACGGCAGTTTCACGGCAGTGTTCTAAACGCCATGCCATTGCCGTGCCGAACTCAATTCAGTTTGAAGTTGGGGCAAACATTTAGGAATGCGCATGCTCACAATACCCCTCTAGCGTCCGCATTACGGGAATTGAAATTGGCGTGTATATATTTTGATCGCACTGAAAGTTCATTGAACTGCATGAACTGCTTTGACCTGGCCAGCTGCTCCAGATGCATTAAGGTTTGACTATTAAGTTCGGCATAAGTTTGGCGTTTAGAGCAACTGCCGTGCTGTAGACGAGCTATTGCCGCACTCATTTCAAGTAAGTTTGGCGCGGCAGCAGCACGGCGTCTAGCGTGGGCCTTAGGCCAAAAAAAAATAATAGTTCTGCTTCTGGTTACCCTATCTAAGGGTAATTTCGACAGCCCCTACCATAATTTTTTTGTGGGAAAAATGAGGGGAAAAACTTCAAAATTACTACTTTTTTACCCTTGACTACAAGCAGACACCTCCATATAATCGTACACGAAAAAAGTGCGCCCCCAAAATGTTCCCTACCTACCTAACCTATTTTCAAATGCCATGTAATCGGGAGCAGAACTATTTTTGTGTGTGCCTAAAGCCCGGTTCATGGTCGGCGCAAAAGCGAAAGCGAATGCCAATCTGTGACGTCATGGCAAGTATTCACGCTGCGAATTTGCAAAAGTTGAACACATTTCAACTCGGGCGAATTTCGCAGCGAATGTTTCATGACGTCAAATTCGCTTCGCATTCGCATGAAGTATGAACCGGGCTTTAGTCTGTAACTTAAACTTTGAGAAACTCAACTCTTTGTTGGCAATTGTTATTCCAGTGGGTAGGTGCAAAGCAGCGTGAGTTTCAAGTCAACTCTATGCAGCTTCTGTACTACCAAGCCCCTCTCTCTGCCTGCATTCTGGCACTCATCGTCCCCTTCTTTGAGCCAGTCTTCGGTGAAAATGGTGTGCTTAGCTCATGGGATGCCTATGCAATAGTGAGTATGTTTGGTAATACTAATGAAATCTCGTGACTCAGGTAACACTCAAAATTTAGGAACGCGGAGCATATTCCCATTTCCTTTGATTTCAGTGATTACATTGATTGTAATTATTTATTTATTTTCATTTTTTTCATTGATTGTATTGATTTGGTGGATTTCATTGATTTCATTGGTTTCGTTGATTTCATTGATTTTTATGATTTCATTGATTCTGATGATTTTATTGATTTGGTTGAATTTGGTGATTTTGTTCATTCAGTTGATTTTGTTGGTTTCGTTGATTTCACAGACTTCATGATTTTCGTTGATTTCACTGAGTTTTAGTGTGATGCCTTCTTTCGCCCTTAACCCCAAAAGTCAAACTCCCTTGCCTCTAGTCCGTTCACAGCTAGTCACTTCCGATTGAAGAGAACATTTGACAAAGAATAATCATTTGTACAGCAAGTCAACACTTTAGTTCAGAGTTTGAACATCTGCGTAATCCTTTGTTGATTTTTCTTTCAAAATCTCTTCTTAATCCCCATCTCCCCAAGCAAGGGCTAAGTAAACACTTTCAGTTAGAGAAGTGTGTACTGAGAGGGGTGGAGGCACACAGTCAATGGTTCTTAACGAAGGTTGCTTGGAAACCACGTTATCCTTGTTGGAGGAATCCCCCACCGAATTTTACTCTAGTTTGCCCATAAAGCGTCGCCATACTTTATATTCAGAGCCAGAGTAAATTGACAATAGTTTAGTCCATTTTAAACTGTGCTCACAAAAATGTACAACCACACATAGACCTGAAAACAAGTTTAGGTTATAAATCAAACAGCTGCACAATATCTTTAGGGGGGCCGGGTCCACACTAGGTTTACACGTAGGGGAAAAAATTGGAATTTTCCTAATTTTTAATTTTCGAACTTTTAGACCATTTACAGAACTTTTGACTCCTGAAATCCAAACTCAGCCGGCCCTAGCCAAAATGCATACAACATTTGCAAATATCAAACAACGAAATGCTTATTGAAAAGTTGCTGGCATTTTCAAGAAAACTGGCATTTTTGTATCAATTTCCAACTGGAAAACACTGACTTTTTTTAATACTGCCGCCAATTTACCAAATTTAGTTCAAGTCCTTATTTTGTTTGCAATCAGTTACCCATCCATGAATGGATGCGACCCAGCTAGTCTGGTTCCCTGACCTGACAATTCCCAGACGTCTACAGATTGCTCCATTTCGTACGGTCAGGGAACCAAACTAGAAGAACAGCATTTTTTTCCTTGGTTTTCACAGCATATATGAACACAAATCTTTAAATAGGTCAGTGTAACAATATTTGCTATAAAATACTAACCCCCAAATCCATCCATTTCTGAAAATTACAGCAAAAGTAAATGTCGTATATTACCTTGAAATGCTAATTTTTGTATTTATCCAAGGGTTAAAAAGTTAAATATACCTAGGTTCAGCTGATAGTCCTTTAAATGTAACCTTTCTTACCATCCCCTTTTGAACGATATTGTGTACCATGCACACGCAGATTGTCTGCTATTTTTAAATTTTTCTCAAAATCAAAATGTTGTTAGCTACGACTGCCACATCAGCATTGCTTGGCTGTGGTGCCCTTTCCTCTCTTGCTGTGTACATAGAACACAGTCTTTATGTATACAGACATTGTACATTATACCTTGAATACACATGTACATTGACTGACTTGCTATTGTACACTATGCATAGAGCAAGGTATGCACTATATGATATAGTGCCCTGATGCTCAAACAAAATTGTTGAGTTATCAAACTTTGGCCTCAGTATGAATCCCACATATAGCCCCAGCCATGTGTTTTTATTCTAGTATCCTTTTATGGATGCTGTGCAGCTTTGTAATTCCAACTACTAGGAAAAGGAAACTTTTTTTAGATTTTTTTTTTATTGTAAGAGCATAGGAGTTTGAGAATGAAGGTCTCTAAAAACGATAAATGAATTGACTCATCTCAGAAATTGGTTTTATATAGACCTCAATTTCTGCAAATTTACTGAGGGAGCCGAACAACCTAAGGTTTTTAGTTATAAAAATCATTACCAAAAATGTGAAAAAAATTAAAGCAGATTGTCAGTTATTCTGCAAATAACAGGTTGACCATGAGACATGCTTGTATATAAAAAAAATTAGGTGTTCAAACTTGGTCTTATTACCTCTGTTGCATTTTTTTCACAGAGGCCAAGGATTGAATGTCTTCTAACACTCGTTTTTTCTCTGTTTTGTTCCATTTCAGTATTTTGTTCTAGCCTCGGGTTGTGCTGCCTTCTCTGTCAATTTATCAATATACTGGATTATTGGCAACACGTCACCTGTTACGTATCCTTTAAAAAAAAACGCATTAAAGAAACTACTATAAATTCACTGAACCATGACTTCAAATTTGACTTTCATTTGTTGAAATACTGATGGCACCGTTTGGTGTGGTAAAACTTGCCTCCTGAAGTGATCAATGGAGCGTTCTGTTTTCTCAAGGCAAAGCCCAGGGAAACGGAATGCTCCATGGAACACTGTGGGAGGCCAGTTTTACCACACTGGCGTGAGTCAAAGTATTAAATATTTGTTGTACATGTAATGCCTTACCCACCTATTTCACTTGATTTTGATGGGTAAACAGAATCCAATAAAAAAAATGTACTTTTATTTACTTGCACTTTTCCAAACTACCCAGGCGCGGTTCTACGGGGGGTCTAGGGGGGCTGTAGCCCCCCCCCCCCCCAATTTTTTTGTCTAGCCCCCCCAAAATAAATTCCGTAAAAAAAAAAATTGCATTAGCAAAAAGAAGGATTTTGTTGACATGCGAACGGTCTGCCCCTAGAGAAGAAATAGCCGTGACAAGGGTGCATTAGTTAATATAGTGTGAATGATTTTAGGATTTTATTGGCGCTCCCCATTGAAAATATGGCATCCCCCCCCCCCTTATTGATTTTTGGAGGCCTAAGTGTCTGGCCTAAGTGTCCGGTCTACATTTCAGCACGCCTCCCTGAAAAAATTCTGGATCCACCGTGCTAGCCCCCCCAAAATATTGGTTCTAGAACTGCGCCTGAAACTACCCTTCATAAAATGATTGAACTCAACTCATTGGTGCACCACACACAGCCGTACATGCATGCATGTGCATACAGACCACCTGTTTCTATGCATATATCATTGATTTTTTTCAGCAGTTGTAAAGTTCAACTGCTGAAATAATACTATATGCAATATTATATAACTGACATACAGATATCCTTGTCATTTGATTAGTGGAACTCACATCACGTGACATTCATTTTTGCTCCCATTCACGCCGGGGCTCAAAAAGTCCCATTTGCCTATGTTGAATGGGATTTACTATTCAATAGTTAGGATCATCCTTGTTCCATGATGTGGTATTTGTGTACAAATGCGTGCTGGCGTACATGTTGAGCGTTGCGTGTAGCGCGTATTGTTCCCAAGAACCAGTTATATAGCTACAGAGCTGAGTTCAAACATTTCCTGAAGGGGTGGTTTGGAAGAGAGAAATACATTTCCCACCAATTTCGTACTGAAATAGAAGTTCATTTTAACTGTAAATCAAATGACAAGGATCTATAAGTCAGTTATATAGAACAAGTATTGAGTGGCTTTATAGTGTGAAATGGGAGGAGTATTATCGCTCGGTAAAATCTGGACTTTTCCATTTTAATAAAAAAGTCCAGATTTTACCTTGCGATAATATTCCAAATGGGTGGCTCAGAGTGAAATGGGATCACTCTGAGCTACTCAATATTTGTATATTATATAACCGACATACAGATCCTTGTCATTTGATTGGTGGAACTCACATCACGTGGCATTCGTTATTGCTCCCATTCACACTGCTGCTCAAAAAGTACTATCCGCCCATGGGGAATGGGAAATACTATTCAACAGTTAGGATCATGACGCGGTATTTGTGTGCAAATGCATGCTGGTGTGCGCATTCAGCGTTGCGCGTAGCGCGTATTGTTTCAAAGAGCCAGCGCTACAGCGTTGGGTTCAAACATTTTCGTGAAGGGGTGGTTTGGAGAGAGAAATACATTTTCCTCCAGTTTTGTATTGAAATAAAAGTTCAAATATATCAAATGACAAGAATCTATATGTCAGTTATATAAAACAAATATTGAGTGGCTTTAAAGAGAGGAATATTATCGCTCGATAAAACCTTGACTTTTCCAGTTCACTCGGCTTCGCCTCGTGAAATAGAAAAGTCCAGATTTTACCTTGCGATAATATTCCTCCCATTCCACTCTGAGCTACTCAATATTTGTATATTATACAACAGCCGAAAGGATTATAGTCCTTTCAGCCGTTGTATAGTATTACATGTGTTATAAAAAAACCTTATAGAATGCACTCACTTCTGAGACATTTGATGCATCGATTGCACTGTTCTTTACAGTGTGGTATGTACTCATTTTATCTTTGAAAGTAATCTTTGATAAATTTACAGAGTGCCCTATTTATTCACATCTTGACCATGTCTTTTCATTGTTCTTTTTTTTTACAAATAGTTCACTTGGTTTTCTTTAACTCGTCATAATATCCTCAGCTATAACATGGTCGGCCATCTTAAATTTTGCCTGACGTTGATAGGGGGTTTCCTTCTATTTGGGGAAAAAGTACAGTTTAATCAGTTGCTAGGTGTTTCCATGACGCTGAGCGGCATCGTAGCTTACACCCACTTCAAGGTCAAAGAGCAGGAGGAGGCGGACAAGCAAATAAAGGCCTAGTGAGTACATTTTCACTGTTTTAAGAATAATTTAAAGTGGTAATGTCACTTTTTGGGGGCTTAATGTCGTGTACGTTCATGGAGTTTTATCGTAAAGTCAAGTTTGTCTGGTATGGCTCATCAGACCAGTGCTTATCTCAAGTGTTCTTGGCGGGAAAACGACTGAGAATATTTCTATTCCCTAGGATAGGGTTCATTTCAGGTTACTCCCAAGATCATGCCGGTACCCAGTTATAATCCTTGGTGGATAGAGGCAAATGGGGCAAAGTGGCTTGCCCAAGGACATATCTTGTGGCCAAGCAGCTGAATTTGAACCCTAGACACACTGAGTATAGGTCACAATTCCTCAGCACGTACTATGAGCCGTCTATAAGACAGTGTAGTGATCACCTCCACTTGAAGTTTTTTTTCCAATTAAATCACACTTGCTGAAAGGAAAATGACCTCTCTGGAAAAAGACAAGAAAACAAGAACAAGAAAAGATAAACACATTACCCAGGGCCTAACTATTATTTTCTACTGTGAATAACCACCAACATGTATGTATATAGCTAGTCTGCTAGCGTCAATTGGTTTGAAGCCAGAGTTATAATCAAGTTTATCACATGTGATTGACATGTGTATGGACTTGTGATTGACTTGTGACTGACATGTGATTGACATGTGATAGTACTGTGATTGACTTGTGATAGTACTGTGATTGACATGTGATTGACATGTGATAGTACTGTGATTGACATGTGATAGTACTGTGATTGACGTGATAGTACTGTGATTGACTCGTGATTGACATGTGATTGACATGTGATTGACTTTACTGCATCTCCAGCTCCAAGTTTGATTTTGTTCTGAAAGAAACATTGCTTCTATGAATTTTGTTTTTTAGATATGTAAAATTCAAAGCCACATTGTGTACACATGTGCCCGAACATATTGAAAGTCTTTAATCTCCAGCACTTCCATAATCCACCTATCCCATCATTTTATACACTTTTCATATAGCGTGCGAAAGGACGGTGGCCAAATCGTTTAAGTCCATGGGGAAAAAAAATGTGGGTAATTGTTCTAAACTTAAAGGTAGAGTAAACCATTGGTGCATTTTTTTTTGTCATTTGAAGCAACAAAAGTGCTCAAAATCTAACGCCTGGTGTTTAACAACAAACCCGATGAGGCGTTAGCTCTGTGAATGCTGTATACTTTGAGAAAACAACATTCTAAATCTCGATTTCAATTCAGAAGTTGCCGAGTCATGACGCAATCCCGAAATCAGCATACGAGACGTAATTCTCATGCAGCCGATTGTTGCTACATGATGTACCACCTTGAACCGACGATTCTTGCTAATAATAACAACCGAGCGCATGTGTGCGTCGTGTCGACACGCTTGCCCTAATTCACAGATTTGCCCAATTGCATATGAAATGCCAATGGAAATTTCCAAAAATGTGTCACTTGACGCATCTTTGGGAATGGCATTCTTTTATTGTTTTCTTCAAAATGACAGCATGCCAGAATGGATAATTTCACAGGGATTTCAGTGCCATTCTTTAACCTAAGTAAGCTTTTTAACCATAATTTGGTCGGTTACTTTTTGGATAGATGCAAATTGTCTACTCTACCTTTAATAGAGTTCTAACATTTACGTTCTTTCATGTTCCATAACCCTTTCTTTTGCCAAAAAAAGATGCGTTTGAATTGCTGATGTAAAACAGATTATTTTGTCCATGGCATGCTCTCGGTGACAGTGCTCTTGATGATAATGCAAATGTATCCCTGATCTGTGCGCATGCAAGCACTTATAGAACGTCGGCTTGGACTATATTACCAAAATATCGACGACCTTGGTATGGATTTTTAAACTGGTAATGTCATTCTTAAAGATGGTCCGTGCAAAAGTCCTATAAAAGGGGGAACAAAAGTGACGGAAACAAGTTGGCAAGATCTGCACTACGTGGCTAAATGTTTAAATTCCTTGTAGTCACGGTATTTAGAAAAGGTGAAAATTGTGCATCCAGCAGGGTCTTTGAAGTTCTGCCCATGCTGCCTGTTTGCAGTTTCCCTATCACAACGTTGTGTTTTGATGACATTAATAGTCTTCCCCAGCAAAATAGCTACCGATATACAGACCTGTACTACCGAATACTGTGATATTGTTATGACGGTATATCGTGAACTCTCAAAATCCAATATCACACAAGCCAAATAGAACCAGAATCCTGTTTGAGTTCAAACATGTACCGGTATACTCCAAGCCACTGTTTTATACTGCTTGAAATTGCCACCTCATAATTACATGTGCCATCGCTTCCCTTAGCTGTACCAAGTTGCTCCCCATGGGATAGAAGCAATCACTGCAAAATATCCTGCTGAGGGACATAAACGAGGGACTTACCCAAAACCATAAAATGCTCTTCTAATTATTATTATTATTATTTTTTTTTTTTAATGCTGCTAGATGATTACCTATTGCAAGGCTTTCAATATCCTTGATTGCTTGAGGTTGGTACAGAAATATTTATGCCTTAGTTGAGGTGGTGGCAGTTTTACACACAGAGTGAACAGAGTGCTTCCGTTTTGCATTTTGCATGTACCCGGTACAATGTATACATACCGGTACAGCATTAATGTTTTTTTTATGCTTGTGACTTGCCTCAGTGATGCAGATATACAGGGTGTATCAAAAGAAAGGTAAATCCCGAAACAATGGGATCATATGTCAAAGTTGGGAAATTGTTCACTATCAAAGTGGCTTTATCTTAAAGGATGATTAGATTAGCTTTCACTTGATACATTATTAGCATCTCTTTAGTCACAGATGATTGAGCACCATTAATTGCAAAACAATGGCCAAAATATCTCTTTTTCCAAGTTCGCTGAATAAGTGGTGAGTTAAGCTGTCCGAAGAATGCGCTATCACTGTGAAAGTGCGTTAAAAGGGGTATGTTGAAGATGTTGCTTTAACATGGTACATCATGTTGTCCATGAATAATAAATCATTCCAAGGATTTTGTCTTTCATACTTCTTATTCATACATACCTAATACAGTTTATCCATTCCCATTGGTCGAGAGCCTGTCACATGGCCGGTCTTAAATGGATGATAAAGACATGGGTGGCTGGTCTTAAATACTTTTCCAGTGTCACATGAAATTTGGAATCCTATGAAATCCAGTGCCTTTTACCATTTTATTCGTTGAACGTTCACAAGCCTCATGTAGGCATGCGCAGTGCTACCAGTGAGTCAGTATTTCATAGCCCTTACTTCACAATGCACTCGCCACAGCTGCATCTGCGCGACATCGCGCAGTACGTGCGACGCGCGCACCAATCTCCATAAAAGAAGTTGTTTATGTCTTACTCGCGAGCTGGACGCTCCATTAAATAGCCATAGGGGTGTTTCAAAAAACATGAAGTGAAGTTGTTGAACAAAATCGTTGGAATCTTTTATTTTTGAATTATGTAGACTTTTGGACCGAAAAGTTTTGATTTTTGACCGAAAAGGTATTATTGAATGGGAATAAATTTGTCAAACTTCAAGAAACATATTTTTTTTGGCCTTTGTTTTGAAATCAATGGTGCTCGGTCATCCGTGACTGAAGAGATACAAATAACATATCAATGAAAAGCTAATGAACTACCCTTTACGATGAAGCCACTTTGACAGTGTTCAAGTTCATAACTTTTACATATTTACCCATTATTTTTGGATTACATGTATCTTTTCTTTTTGATACACCCAGTATATATTTGGCACTGTTATATTTTGCTGTAACTAGCAATGCTTGTTAACATATTGATTTGCAGTTTGCATTGTTGCTACACACATCAGCTTGCCTTGACTACTAATGCTTTTCACATCAGGTTTTGCACCATTGTCCCGCATTGCTTACAACTATTATTTTGCTCTTCATGATAAATGGGAAACTGATTATTTAATGTCTATTGCTGTGCATGTGTTTGCTAAATTGTTAAATTGCAGCCTATATTAATTGGGTAACATTTTCTCTCACAGTATTACACACTTTGTAACGCAGTAACACAATACTTTGATTGCTTGCATGGCAATTAATCTGTTAATTACCTTAAAACTTAACACAGAGTTAACAGCAGAAGTTCAACGATTCTTCTGTGCTGCCTGAATTGTGATATCACTAGGTTAAATCAGTTTAACTTTTATCATTAGGTTTTGATATGTCCCAGACCGATGCTAGCAATAGAAAATTGGTAGGCCTATGTTCAGATACCGATGGAAGTTTGATGTTGTTCAAGTTTGCTTCGTATCGAAACCCAGAGGCAGGTTTGCAACTTTTGCATGAGGAATGAAGTTTGTTTAAAACAAGCATTATAATTCTTCTTAAAGGGAGGAACAGCTACCTTACGAAAGGACCATCAGTTACAAGCACAACTACATGTAATAAAATAATGAAATTCAAAAGTGACAAAACAGCTGCTGATAATATTCTGTTATCGACCGAGAGGGACTGGAGATCTCTCTACCATGACCTTTTAAAATTCCATCACCAGCCGTTTTGACGTTTTGATTCATCGAGTAACTCATCCGGATCGACTCGGCAGATGGGTTAGCCACGACAGCTGGGCTAATCAAACGCTCAACCGTGGGCCATCACGATTCTCATGCTGCTGTAGCCACTGACAAAATGCCCGTTTCGGACTGGGTCGTAGTTTGATACTTACTGCTTTTCATTCTGCAAAACTCAATCAAGTTGGGCTGGAATTATAGCCTCTAAAGTTGCAGTGAACTGAAGAAATAATTACCTTTAGCTTTCGAATAATGTTGAATTTGTGGTCCACTTAAGATTTCTGCTGTCAGGCCGCCATATTTGTCCGTTTCTTGGAATGAACAACGCATGTGTGTGAGGTATTTCCACCACTGATCCATGAGCAGGGTCTGTGGTGGCTGACCCAGGTGAGCCCCGAGAATGATGTCAGAGATATAATGGAACGTCATGGGGCTATTTTAAAGCCGATTCGATCCGGGTTAGCTACTCGAATGCCCCCAGAATGGCGTAGGGTTGACCTTACAATGACCCGATTACCTGTACATAATTATCATCCCGGCTTCTATGAAACATAACATGTCTATGTACTTTAACACATCGTAGCCATGCTATGACCTCATTATGACCTCTTAATGACCCCATCATCACTTGTCATGACCTTATTATGACCCCTGTATGACCTGGGGTTAACCTCATTAGTATCATGATTGTTGTTCAGTTCATGACAATAACCAGCACATTTGTCACAACCCATCATACATGTAGTCATGCCACAACCCCTTCATGGCCCAGTAATGACCTCATCATTATCCTGTTATGACCTCATCATGACCCAGTAATGACCTCATCATGACCCAGTAATGACCTCATCATGACCCTGTTATGACCTCCCACCCCGACCCAATATTAACCCAATACGATTAGTGTATGCTTTTCTTTTCTTGTGACATCATTTTCCTTCTGTCTGTTTTCAACTTTTGTAGGTTCATCCACCGTCTGCCCATCATTCCTTCTTCGTGACCACCCCCTTGTAGCTGATTAGTACCATCCTTGTCTTTACTTGACACCAGTGTATTTCTCCAGTTAAACTGGATGCAGCCATTATCTTTTCAGAGGAGAATTCTCAAGCATTGTTGTGTAATATTTCATTTTGTAAATGTGCACCATTTCCTTATCAAGTTAATTTATGAACTGTTAAATTGATATGAGGTATTGTTATTTATTGTAAATTGCATGTATTGGCATTAGAGCTTCTAATACAGCATCAAAGTAATAATGTAAGAAACTGGCTGTTGGCTAGAAGTTACATGCATGAAGCTTTTGCATAAACTTTAAACCAGCACTACATGAGGCAATGTCTCTTATCAGGTCTCTCTCAATGACGGCCATCTCTGTAGGAGAACTGCAACTGCGTATTTTACGCAATCAAGCATGCATTACGCAGTGTTGAAAATGTTCCAAACACGCGGGCTTGTTGCTCGAAATGTGTTCGAAATACAACGCAGCCGATGCGCGTTATGCAAGTTGATGCTCAAAATGCTGATGCACGTGGCTGGTCTGGAGGAAAAGACGTCATTTGAGAGAGAAGTATAGAAACATATATCAGCCATTTCTCAAATCCAGTGTTCATCTCCAGCTTTGGTTCCCAGCTACGTGAATGTAGATCCCTGCCATTTTGAGACTTGGCCATTCTTTGCTCCTCAAACATTGGATATTATAAGATGAAGCCGAAGCTGGGATTGAAGCCAACATTTTAGAAATGGCTGTGGCCTTAGGTCAAAAGCACCATGACTGCTAGGCTTGACTCAAGTCACACCAAAGTATGCTCGGTGAGTCGGCCTCAACCCTCTCTACACATGCATGAATCAGTTGTATGCTGGTTTCCTCCATAGGGCGTCCCTTTTTAATTCTATGGTTCTCAAGTTGGCCTTGAAGGAGGGTCGGTTGGTCGAAAAAAAAAAAATCTGGGTTGAAAAAAGTACATGTTGAATGCGTAATTAAGGCTAAATAAAATGATGCAAACTGTTGAATATGTGACTGTTCTGAATTAGCTTTTATTTCAAAATATTGGACATTACTTTGGCATTTTTTCCGTGCGAAATTGGACAGATTATCCTTACCTGTGACTTGCTATAGCATAATGAGGAATAACCACCATCCTTGATTTTTTTAAGTTTTATATACCATGTAAAAGAACAACACTTTAGCTTTGAAATGATACCAGATTTATTTCTGTAGCTCATTCACTTCCAAAGATATGCCATGGGAAAGTCAGTGGTGCGTTGCTGAACTACGACAACCTCATTTCGAGAAAAACAGCTTTGAAAAAAAAGTTGTGTGTTGCACTTTGTGCATTGCAAGCTTTATGTGCCATGTGTACGTACATACGCGTGTGGGACAACTTTGTTACATTGTAAACAGTTTTTGAGCACACGCTGTAGGCACGCACTCACAGATTGGATCGGTGCTGCAATACATGTACGTCACGTATCTAAGTAAACAACACACAGCGCATGCTCTATTGCCTATTCATACAATGTGGTCCAATCAGATGGAGCTATTTTTATTATGAAGTAAAGCCCCGTGAACTAGACACTGTCATCGAAACATCACAGTTTTTTTCCTTCGTTTGGAGCAAAAAAGGGTAGGTCAGAAATGAGAACCATAGAATTAAAAAGGGACGCCCTTACGGCATGTAAATATAAATGACGACACAGAAATTCAGACTTGAATCAAGCCCACATGTCCAACTGTAAACTTTGTAGGCTCTTCCATATTGTTTGGTTTTTACTCATTTTTCCTTAAAATGTTATAAGGCTAATTCTTATTGAGAAAGTCAAAAAGAGATATTTGTACACTTAGCCTGGAATAAGTCAACAGAAAGGCTTTCAGGAGTTGGTAGTTTTCAACAGTTACGTTTTGTGCTGTTTTTTCCTAACAGATTTTGACCTTTTGAGTGTTTGGTTCTAACCAAAAAAAAATGTTTGTTTTTTTTCTATTTGGAGCATCTGCAACCCTCTGGAAAAAAAATGTGTTTCTTTTCCTTTTTTTTTTCATTGCACACAAATGTCTGCCCTGCAAATAGTCTGGTTTCCGGTCCATACATTATTGATTCTAAAAGTGGGGTGGGAACCAGTGTTCCCCATGTGTGTTGACTTATTGCCGGGTAAATTATTCCATTAGGCCAAAAAAAAAGTCTCCGGTTTCTGGTATGCGCGCGCGTCGCCGTAGCCATGCGCGTCGGCAAAATGAAAAAGTTTTTTTCAATGAAAGATGATGTCTCAAAACCGCCAAACTCACTGGTTTGACTGGAATCCTGCTGCTGCACAATTTTAACGTGTTTTTGGATGGGGTTATGATCGAGAATAAGCTTTATGTGGCCTCTCTGGACTCCCATATATTTGCACTAAGTTTAGTCGAGCTACATTTGCAGTCATCAGCCGACATTTGAGGCAAAAAAAATCAGGTAAAAAAAAAAAGCCTCGGCGCACCACTTTTTGGGCAAGCTCCATACCAGAAAACGGAGACTTTTTTTTTTTGGCCTTGGTGAATTTGGGATATATTTTTTTTTCTGCCAATATCTCATTCAAAGAAAAAAAAGAAAGTTTGTATTGCTAGAAAAATAGCAGTTTACACTTACAAATAAAATCGACTTTTCTGGGTGAAACTTGAAAATAGCATAATAAGTGAAAATGGGAAATGGTTCACAATTACATCTTCATTTTCAACAGAATTTAGTTGGAAACAAATACATTTTGTGATAATATGTTTAACATTATAGAAGTTGTATATACATGTAAATGCAGCACACTTTTGTGGAAGTATTAGTCCTCCAGCAATTACCTGATTTCAGGACATGTGGTTTTTTTTTTAATTTGTAAATAACATATTGGCAGCATACGTGTTTGTGTATGTATGAGCTCCGTGCGCTACCGAAAGAAGGCGCCCTTTTACCTAACAACGACGCCCCATGGGCGGTACATTTCACTGGTTGACACGCACTGTTCCTTGCGTGTGGCGCACATACACCAGGGGATTTGTTCTATTTATACGCAGTGGCCGCGCTTCGCGGCAAATGAATTGCAGTCAGGCAAGATGGCGTCAGTCGGTCACCCCCAACTGTACTTCCTTTGTCGGTGAGGGGGTGCTTGTGAACGGAGCGGATACCTGTACAACTCAAATTTCAGGCAAAAATTGTCAAGAGTCAATTACATACCTTAATGTTACAGATAATGTTTTATGCAATCTTATTGCTGGTAAGATAAGTATCCATTGGAGGCAACTGTCTGTCTCCCTTCCCCCCCCCCCCCCCCCCCCCCACCGAAATAAATAAAAACAACTAAATTATTTGTAATAATCATTCTTTAAGCATAAATATCTACTGGAATAAGGTTCTTTGTAATAAATAAAAACATTTTGAAGTATGAAATTTCCACACACAAAAATTCAATTTCCCGAGTAGAAGAGTGAATCATTGAAAGATGAACAAGTTTTGCTTTGGGAAAAAGATTTCAAATCTGTTTTCAATTGATGGATTTAAGGGATGAATCCATTTTTGACTGGGGGGAGCTATCAAGAAGGGGAGGGGGCTTAAAGGTAATATATAACATTTGCTTTTGCTGTTGTTTTCAGTACCGGATAATGGATGGATTTGGGGGTTAGTATTTTATAGCAAATATTGTTACACTGACCTGTTTATAGTTTGTGTTCATAGATGCTGGAAAAACCAAGAAAAAGGCTGTTCTTGTTCTTGTAGTCTGGTTCTCTCACCCTACTTTGGACGAAATGAAGCAATTTATAGACGTTGGGGAATTGTCAGGTCTGGGAACCAGACTAGCTGGTTTGCACCTGTTCACAGATGTGTAACCGATTGCAAACAAAATATGGACTAGCTAAATTCTCTAAATTGGGGGCAGTATTTGAAAAAGGTCTCGGGGAGGAGGGGTAGACTCTGTAAATCCTCCCCTATAGATCTGCCACTGGGTTTGTTCAAGGAGTTTAATTCCATTTTCCGCATCATTAAAAGGTATTCAAAGCTGTTGGCACTGTACATGTTGGTAAGTATAAGTGAAACATCATGCAATAGAATGTATCCATGGTCAGATTTGTACACTACAACGTCATGAACATTTGTGACAATATAGTTCTGCACAGGCATTCATCTTGATCTCCATTTTTGTTGATTAAATTGTTCTCAAGTATTTTTGGAGACATGGCGAACAAAGTAGGAAGGAGCAAGTGGATAAACTTGAAAGTATTTACCCAAATTTACTTAACATATTTTGTATTTTGAATAACTGGATTTGTCCATAGATGCAGTAGTGACCCAGTATTTACCAATATATTAACTTAAGAATGCATCCCCAAGACTTTGAATTCAGCATGTGTCCAATCTGAATCGACTTGAGACGTCACAATGATGTCACGCTTTGTTTACAAGTGCGCTTTCATATAATTAAAAATCTAAAAATTAGTGTGGCCTGACGTTGCGAACTTAGCAAGTTCTTCTTCAGAGGCTAAAACAGAATTATAATTATGGGAGCCAGGTGGGGACTGTAGAGCTACCAAGCTCCTTTTTGGAAAGTGCAAACAAAGCGTGACGCCATTTTGTCTTGGAGCTATTGTCTTTACGCACTTTTCCATGCCTTCACTCAAATATCAAAGCTAGATCCCCCAATACATTTTTAATAAGTTCACCAATCAGTATGATTGCCCTATCAAAATCTGTATTTAATATCATCTGGTTTTTCCTCTCTTCTTTTGAAGTCCTGAACAAGCTGTGGAAAAGCCAGCCCTGGAGTTGAACAGCGTGCAAGTTGTCAAGAGCGACCAGACAACAAAGAGTGATCAAAGCACAGCTTCCTAATTAGACACAGCTGATTGCCAACAAACAAACCTCTGTTATTGGCCAACATTAAATGTAGGACATTCTAGTTTCCAACAGTCCAAAGAGTGAAACTATAGGGACCAGGCAAGTTAGAGGAATATCACCCTAATTTCAGTTGAAACTCGAGTGAAAAATTGACAATTTTGATTTGATAAATTCACATTAGATTACAATCAGTGTGCAGATGAAGCCAGTTTAAACAAATATCCACAGATTGGTAAAGTTCACTGTTTATGCAAAAGTTTTAAAATTTCATGTTATTTTTGTCACTAAATAGGGTAGGGCTAATGAAGCTTTTTTTGACTTGGTTTCTATAAAAATTTATTTCCTGACCTCGTTTAATATTCAAGACTCACTTTGAGAAGTACTTGTTTAGAAACTGGCCAAGCACATATTTATTCCCATATTACTGCTCAAGTCTTGGTTATTGTTGATTTTAGGCATAATTGCCCAGTCATTTTGACAGCTTTCCGTTTTTATCTAAACTAAAGGTGGTACCTTTTGCACAATACCTTCTTTTATACGTGCATTTGTATACACATTTATAAATATATGCAGTATAGTTTTCACAGAATCTAATGTTATTTATTTACAGTACGCACTAGATATTTTTGATTTTTTTGTGTTTAGTTATTCAGTTTAAGTTTATTTATTAGTTACAACTTAACAAGTGTTTTATTTTCAGGTTGGACAACTCCTAAAGTGCAACTGACGATTTGTTTTACGAATACAATATTTTATCAGTAAATATTTGTAAATCTTGGGAACACCAAGTTTTACGTTGAGGCTTTGCAGGGTAGACCAACTTGCGTCATGTAATGGTTCATTTAAAGTTTCTTGTTTCGGTCACTTCATAAGTTTCTAATAATGAAATTGCAGTCGTAATTGTTTCCATTTTAAAATTTTTATTTTGTGTGAATTTAGAAAATCTTAGCTTTCCCAGCTTTATATTAGTAAATGCTAGTTTTTGAAATTTCACAAATTATGCAAATGCAAAGGTTTGATTAAATCTTGTTGTAAATTTGTATAGAAATATGAGCTATTGCAGAAAGAATCATTAATTTAAAAAAAAAAAGAACTTTAAAAAATAGCTAAAGCTTTAGTAATTAAAATAAAAGGAGATGAGACATTTTATTGTTTTTAAAAGTTAGGTATGTTTTATATTAGAGGTATTTTTTTAGCTGAAATTTAAGAAGTTGTTAGTATTTTTATGAAACAAGCAAAGTGTGCCAAGTAATGAATTGTGAATTTAACTATCACAGGGTATCAACAGTAGCGATGCACTTCTGTAGCAATTTGAGATTCAACTTGCAGAAGATAAATGTAGTTTTTCCTGTAGGAAGTGTCTCAAACTAGTAGTGGTGTTTGTTTTGGAGTCCTCAAATTTGATCTAAGAGCATTCTCAGGGGCTGGGCACCCCAATTTCTCTTGAACTGATTTTCAGAAGCTGTTGCTTCTAACCAGATTTGCTGGTGTTTTAAGTGTTCCAAGTTTAGAGATTGTCCGTAACATTTGTGAAAATGGTTGGGGTTTTTTCGGGGCAAGTTTAACTCATTCTTACCTGTACTTTGTGTACTACATTGTATTACATTGTGTTTATTCTAGGAGTGTGCATTTAAGGGTACCTGATAAATAAAAAACACAGGCAACCGTTAAAGAAACCCAACCCCAAACCTCAAATCCCAGAAGTTGCTGTTCAGATTGTTCATAAAGGTCCACGATAATACTACTAGTAATACTACATCAGTGCCTCAGTACGGCAATATGCAAGTGGATGTGCAGTCAGCTTTTAAGCTTTACTGTGTAAACTGCAACTTCCTCAAGCACCAAAAACGTGAAATATGTTTTGTTTTGCCATCAGCCTAGTTTTTATTTAAAAAATTTCCCATAAGTGACATTCAAACCTTTCTTGTTTCTTTTGTAAAGTTATGCCACGGGTACCCGATCCCATAATCTGGAACCAGTTCCTGACATCAGCGGTCGGGTACTTGGGTACCCGGTTCTGATGCACAGCCATAGTTGATTCACCGATGATTCTATAAAACCATAGAGTGCTCGGGGGGTGTCAGGCACTTCAGTAATGGACCGATCCAATAAGCTCCGCCCAGTGCGCACGTGGGCAAATTAACACTTGCTCTTTTCCAATGCCACGCTACATTTTCCTTCTGCGCGCATGTCGGACTTTTGTACACACAATGTCGGACATAAATCACGGCTGTGATTGGTCAGAATACCATGGGGCGGTGCTTACTGGATCAGTCCATAGGCAGGGCGGTTTGGGGTGGTTCAGTGACTGAAGGGTTAAGAAATTCTATGTCTACAGTACTTTCACACTTCACAATCATTTGATGAAACACACGTCCACTCTTTGAAATGAATATTTCATTGTAAATATATCTTAGAGTCTTTCTAAAAGAGTTTAATGTTAAGTGTTTAAGCACAACATTGGTTCATATTGAATATGCGTAACTCTAAAAGACCAACCACAGACCTCAAAGTGACTCTTTTGCAAGGTACTTAAAATCTCTCATTTTTTTATTCATAGATATAGATTATATTTGTAGTTAAAAACCACAACTCGACATTTTATGCAATAAAAAAACGCACAAGTAGAGAATCTTCTAAGATGTGATTTTCTTGATTCATTGAGGTAACTGTCGCTGTCCACGACTAACAGGCTTCAAAGTTGCAAAAGTTTAGAAAGAGTACATCATCATCTTTCAACTACAATACTTGATGTATTCCTGCTTTTCGGATGTGAAGTTGTGTTTTTTTCCCATAGCTATTCAATTATACTGCCATAAAAACAGGTTTTAAAGTTGACCTATTTTTTTTTATAAGAAATGAAGGAAAATACCACAACAGGAAAATCAAAACAGTCCAGCAATGTACTTGTCATGCTGTAGTACACAATCAACACGTGCAACTTCACAGCCTGTTGGTGGTAGATGGTAAAAAATGTCGTACTTTTGCCGGTGCCCACTTTAGGTAGGTTTCCGAGTGAAGTAACTTTGTTTGGGTAACGACAAAGAAACTTTGACATAGTCCTTGTGGGATGTGTGGAGTATAAAGTAATGAGACAAAATCTCATGACGCCTACTGTATGAGACATCCACTGCACAGGTTAATTGACTGCGAATAATTTCCCCCGAGCGGTTTTCAGTATAAAATACTTTGGGGTGGTTCAGACGGGGGCTATCTCCGGAGATAGCTCCGAAGCTAGCTAGCTCCACCAAAATAGTTGTCGTTTGGATGCAACTGAACTCCGCCTCTGGAGATAACTGTAGCTATCTAGCCCCAAACATTTGTGGGGCTAGTTCCACTTTCAGCTCAGCAGGCTTCTTTTTACAACCTGACTCCACCGTTATTTGTCATTTGGACGCAGTTGCCGTAGCTCCACACTGACGCATTCAGTCGTCGTTTATTTGTCTGACCAATATTACGCAACCCATTTGGTGACCTTTTAGCTCCACTGTAACACCAGCTCTGGAGTTACCATAATTGTATGAACGTGAGCACAGTTCAGGTTTATCACTAGCTGCACAGAACCCCCGTTGAGTTCAATAATCAGAAAAGAGCTAGCTCCAGAACTGCCCTCTGTCTGAACATACCCTTAAAAAAAGTTTAAACTGGAGTTCTGACTTCGTGGTTTGAAAGACAGGCAATTGCCCGAACAGTGTCTTATAACTGTATAGTTGCTATGCACTATGACAATGCTACCATCCATGTATTGGCCTAGATCTCAAGTATACATATCAGCAGACCACATAGTTACACAGACCCCATTGGCTGTGTGTGTAAATATTTAAATCAAGTTGACCCGTCATCGTCAAGGAGAAGACCCGCCTCAACAAGCTTGCCAATCAGACTCTTAATTTGATAGAGTTGAATCAAGTTTTTTGACTTCGAGTCCTGTTTGCGTCCTTGTCTCTTTTAGTGTCGACAAAAAGTCTGTCTTGTTTCCCAGTATCGTCCATTCATTTCTCTGGCTCATCCTCGTATTGCACGTTACTGCTGCCCTCCTGCGAAGATGACGTCGCTTCTTGCTGATCCGGCTTCTGCATTTCCTGATTCACAAAAAAATTAAATAAATAAATAAAAACAAAGATATTCAGTGAAAATAAATGTGACAAAAGAACCTTTGTGGGAAATGAAACCAAAAAGAACAAGGAGTGCTGTGGTCCAATGGTACTTGGGATCAAACCCTGGTTGGGAACATGGTGCTTGTGTTCTTGGGCAAGACACTTTACTGCAAGTGCCTCTCTCCACCACCAAGGAGAATAAATGTGCACCTGAATTTCATTGTATTACATTGTATTTATTCACTGAAAATTCAATAAAACCATAGAGTGCTCCTTGGGCGCTACAGGGAGTAATAGGCAGGATGGTTTCAGGCGCTTCAGTGACTAAAAGGGTTAAACCCTTTTCTCCACAGCTTTCAGAGCCAAACCTCATGGTGATAATTTATAATGAAGATGTCATTCCAAATGGACGGAACACGGTCGAACACAGGACACGAATACGATAGACATGAAAATTTGCATGTTTGAACACTTTAACCCTAAAGGAATCTGCCCCCCCCCCCCTCAACTTTTTCCACGACCCGAGCTGTTATGACCTTTTAGCCTCGAGCCTTGCACATGTTTTGATACCAAAAACATAAAAATCAGACCACAGGTTGCTGCGCAGTGACAAATTTTCCGGCACTTCATGCCGTGAAAACTGAACTTTCCCATATACGTCGTGTACACAGAGCACAATTACCATTTGTACATTATGAATAATTAATTAGCCATAATTCCAAAACCCTTGGACATATAGTCATGACAATTCTTGGGTATGTTCATGATGAGTTGTTCTATGCATGTACCGAGTTTCAAAATTTTTCGTCACTCGATGGCCGAGATCTTAGGTGGGTGGAATCCCCCGCTCCCCCAGCTGAGAGATGGTCAAAATAACCAAGCCCTTTTAGGTTTAGCAGAGAAGGGAAGCACTACATTTAATTATTATTATTAAGTTGTAGGAATGAACAATACTTGAAATCAAGCCCCCATTCAAAATCCTTACCATTCTGAGAAAGTCGGCTAGTTTGTCGGCATCCGCGCCCGTTGTAAGATGGAGGATGTCCACTGGGTACCGATAGCTTAAGAACTGGCTTGGCTGGATGCCCGAGGCACTGCGTACATAGCGGAATGTCTCCTGAAGAACAAAAATTCATATGGGATCAATAACAAATAAGCGGATTATGTTGGTTTTATGTCGGAGCCAAGCGTAATTTTTTGGGTACCTATTGTAAATACTCGTGAGAGCTCCGTAGAAGGGAACACTGTGGGCACTGCTTCATGCATGTATGGGCTCCGTGTGCCGACGAAAGAGGGCGCCCTTTTACCTAGCAACGAAGTCCCATGGGCGGGACATTTCGCTGGTTGACGCACACCGTTCCTTGTGTGGGACGCAAGTACACCAGGGGATTTGTACTATGTGCACGCAGTGGCCGCGCTTTGCGGCAAATGAATTGCTGTCAGGCAAGATGGTGTCAGTCGGTCACCCCCAACTGTACTGTCTTTGCCGGTGAGGGGGTACTTGTGAATGGAGCGGATGGGGCGATGGGGCATGATTACTTTGTACGTGTTCTACATAACCCCCGAGGACCAACACACAAAGGGAGAACAACAGATCCTTTCAGTCCTCGGGAGTTGGGTCATTGTTGGAACTGATCCTCTGTAGTAAGTTTTTGTGCTTAGCCAATGGGAGAGTGTTATATTACAGGGACAAAGGGAAACACAAAGCATTGTCCTCGAGAGTATAGTAAAACACGACTGTATGATTCTGAATGTGCGCAAAACAGAGTCTTTGTGCAAGTGCCAGGTGTATGCCTCAATGCGTTCCAGTCACTTCCAGTGGTCTCCCAACTCTCCCTTTGTAACAAAGTGAGGGGGTATTGTGCAAGGAATCTATAGGATGCGGTGGGTTGAAAGTTGGGAAATTGGCTTGGGTAGCTCCATGCAGGAATTGAACTGAATTTAGTGCGGAACTGAAAATGGGAATTGTGACTCTTCTTTTGGAGGAATTGACTCCTTGTTCATGGAGATTTGATTCCAGGCAATGAAAAATAGCATTTTTAGCAAGAGGTTTTAATTTTTGATGGCTTCATGCTAGCATTTCACAACACTCCTACGGAAACATACATTCTGTGCTAAGTTGTCCTTACAGTCAAAAGCAATCAAGTGATTGTTTCCAACAGTTAAGAGCTCCCAGACTACAAAAAGCAGGATTGACGGGCTGTGACTATTTATGAAACTTGATACAGCTATGCTTCGACTGTAGGCGATTGACAAGCAAGCATTGCCTACAAGTTGCCTGCTTTTGTCTGTTGATTGAATTTGACTAGTCAGAGTGCTTGCTTGAAATAGGATCTGACTGTTTGTGACTAGCCTGTGTAAAAGGCATGGCAGGGAAGTGGATGGACTTTTTGACTGTCTGTGACTGTTCAAACAGTAGGAAGGTTAATAATTTAATGGGGGTTTCTGTAATATACTTTTTGTCTTAAATTTGGAGTCAATTGTGAACTTAACTCCCGGATGAAATTGGAATCAATTTCAAATTATTGGCACCTCCCAATCCTGTTAAATGAGGACAGGTTTGCTGGCAAAATATAATCTGGGAAAAAACCAGAGAGTGTTTGTTTTTGGGGAGGGAAAGTTCAAATGATTACTTAGTCTTGATTGGACATCTCCGAGTAACGTTTGCCATACTCACCCAGGATTGGCTGTCTGTCCTGGTGACATCGAGGTCATTCAAATCTTCCCAATCAAACAGCAATGGATCGGTGGTCTCACCAAACGGATTGAAGTCGATCAGGAGGAACTTCCTCTGTTGGAGATGAAGGACAAGGAATAAATTTATCCATCTTCCCTTAACCCATTAGAACCTGTATTATATTGTATTTTAAATCCCTGCCGAATCTATGAAAATCACCAAGTGCTCGGGCAATTTGAGGCAGAATGTTCGGTTTTTTTCCTACAGGCAGGGCACTTTTTGGTGGTACAGGGCCTAATTTATTAACCCTAACTCCCTAGGCCTTTTTGCTAGGATGTAGGCTCAATCTTGCAAAATCTTTCAATTTGCCTCATGGAAAAATAGCATATAGCCTCAATCCTGCAAATTCCTCCATTATTTCTTGAGTATGGTCCGTGGAAAGGTGACCACTGCCTGAATCTTGCAAAATCCTTCGGCAGTGACTGTCAATATGTTGAGGCTTGGCCAGTGACATCCTGGAGCAGTACGGAGGATTTCAAGCATAATCCAGGCCTATATTGATGCATGGCTGAGCAAAGACAAGACAAGGTGCGGCCCAAGACCTTGACAAAGTGCATCCTACGAAATCAGTAACGCACTTTTGCCATGTAACCTCAATCCTCCAAATTCCTCCACTTTGGCAAAGAGGATTTTGAAGGATTCAGGACAGTTGCGGTTAAATGATACCTTCAAGAAGGGAATGGGTTTTGAAAATACCGGGAACTTTTACACCATCTTTGATTTAAAGGTACATAACATCATTTGTTTTTTGTGAATTGTAAAAAAAAAATTAAGCAACAAAATTGCTCAAAATCTTAAGGATGCATAACAACGAACTTGTTGACGTTTCAGCAACATGGATACTATACATTTTGAGAAAACAGAAAAGATATGCACAATTTTGGGGGTCTCGTAAGCAACTGTGCACTCGGGCAGACTTTCTTAAACCACCTTCTTCTGAATGATACCATTTCAGGCGGAATAATTTCACAGGGTATTTGGTACCAGTTCTATCTTCACTTTTAGCTAGGGTTTCTTCGTCAAATCGGTAGCTTTCGTTTTTGGGTAATTGCAATTTATTTTAATTAATGAATTACTACATGCCTTAAAAATGAAAACCTAGAAAAAAACTCTAGAGAATTAAAAGAAGAAACTGAAACACTACCTTATCCTGTCTGTAGATGTCGTACACATCTGAAAGAGCAAGCGTAATTACAATGTGATAAAAAGATAAATAAGAACAACATTTTTAACAACTTATTGAATAGGGAGGTTTTGGTTCTTTTAAGTTCAAATTTGATTTTCCAATTTTATTTCAAGTAAAACGAAAACCAATTAAGCACTATTATATTCCAATTTTTTTTTTCATAGGATTTCATTAATTTCCCAAAACAATCTCGCACTCCAATTTCATGCACATCAATAAAGGTCATTTATGGCAATGTTGTACATCGGGTCAGGTTGACCAGGCCAACCGACCCGAAACATCATAGTTATAAACTGAATCTGTACCAAAAATTGATCAAAACTTCCTAAAACTGACCCACCTCAACCCAACAAAAATGAAAGGAAACCTACCCGAAACTGAACCGACCCGAAAAATACCCTAAATATCTGGCAGGGGCAACTGTGTCTGCTTTTTATGCCTGAACTTACTGAAAATACTTTTCTCTTAGTATTAACTGAATCATACCGTACGGTACTCACAACATGACCTACTGGTGGGCCTACATGTTATAGACCGTGCATGATAGGCTTAAGCCACATTTGGACAGTGACTCTGCAATCAATATTGCACTGTGTGAATTTCCCAACTGTTCCATTTTTTTCGGTATATTTGGATTTCCCAAAATGACTTAACCAACGCGACCCCACCCGAAAATCTGTAATGCAAAATCAAAACTGACCCGACTGAAATGATGTACAAATTGATCCGACCCGACCCCGAGTAGGTTAAGGGTCGGGGTCAGTTTTGGTTTCGGGATGGGTTTGCACAACATTGGGTAGGATGGGTACAACATTTGTACATGTACAATTTGTCTACCAAACTACATAAAAAAAGAGCCTCAAAATAATTGCAATCACATCACAACTTTATATACTGCAGTTTATTTGTGAATCAAAAAAAGCAAAGCGCTGAGTTACTCACAATCATGGTCCAGAAAGTTACCAGCTATGTGCCTGTCGTGAAAGTCCTCAATCTCGTTGTGGATTTGCTCTGCCAGGGGTCCCAGGTCTGGGAAGAAGTTGGTGTGGTCTCGCTGTGATATACCTGGGAAAGAGGTTGACAAGATCAATCATTGGGATTAGTTCATACTATATAGGCTTATATGATTTCAACAAATGTAATTCACTACCAAAATCCCCAGACATTGTCAAAGGAACAGGTCAAAGGATTTACTACATGTTGTCCAGTAATACTCTTGACAAATAGTCAAAAACTCGTGGGTGCTTTGGGCTCATTGGAAAGGACGTTGAGTATCAGCTTTCATTGGGAATTGGACAAAATCTGAGTAAGAGGAATTTTCAGTTCCCACTTTTGAGCCTCGGAAATTTTTAAAAACATTCAAGAGATTGTCATTAAAGTTTCCCCAATGAACTCCTTAGAAAAGTTACAACCTAACTTCATTGAAAGTGAAATTTGTTCATTATTCCAGCTTCAAATCTGAATTACAATTATTTTTGCTTGTACAATGTATTATAGGCTGTATCTAAAAAAAGTTACGGCCAAGCGACTTCCAACTGCTTTTGTGCTGGAGGATCACACATGAGTTTGAAATATACTTTTCACTCTTACAAAAAAAATAACAACTTCAAGAATTTACCAATGATGTCATCGTTCTTGACAAAGACACGGAACTCTGTGGCTTCAGATATATCGCACCACCTTCTTAAAACAAGCTGAAAAGAAAATTAAAAAACATATTGAAAAGATGTTTTGAATAAGGTATCAATAATGGTGAAAATTGAAGATACACGCAATATTTAAGACAACCAGTGTACAATTCATACCTCATATAATGTGTCTTGTGGGCCCTGTTCACAGTCTGTGCAGTGTTCAAATCTTTTGAAAAGAGAAAAAAATTGGTCACATTGCATTGAAGCTTGTCAGAGTTACATGATGAAATCTTTTAAAGGTAGGGTAGATCATTTGCCATTTGTGCATTTTTTTCTTTGGAAGCAACAAAAGTGCTCAAAATCTAAAGATGGGTGCTCAACAACTAACCTGGTGAAGTTTCAGCTCTGTGAATGCTGTGCATTCTGAGAAAACAATATTTTAGCATCTCAATTTCAATTCAAAAGTTGCAGAGTCATGTTTTGAATTGTGCCCAAAAATCAGCGTCTGGGACTTGTTCTCATTCAGCGGATTGCAGCGACGAGATGTCAAGCACAGATCCGACGAATAATAGCAACCGTGCGCGCGTGTGTTGAGTCATTGCTTGTGTGCGCACCTGCTCACGGATTCACCGAATTACAAATCAACTACAAATGGAAATTTCCAAAAATGTGTCACTTGAAGCATCTTTGGAAATTGCCTTCTTTTATTGTTTTCTTCAAAATGACGGCATGCCAGAAAGAATAATTTCACAGGGAGTTTAGTCCCATTACTATCTTTACACCAAGTAAGCTTTTCAACAATAACTTTGTTAGTTACTTTTTGGATAGCTGCAAATGATGTACTTTACCTTTAATTCTAGGCATGACTCTAAATAATTTCTCTCCGAAATATCAAGTGTTTTACCTTGACTTAATTTCGATGGTCTCACATTATCTGGAGTAAGTTCAATTGTTAAAAACTGTTCACCACAAATCTTCACAAGTCCTCACAAGTCAGTCACAAATCATCCAGTCTAAATCCCAGTCACAAGCTATTCCAATGAACTGTGACAAATGCATTCCTTTCTGTTATTGTTCATCCCCTATTACTTGTGACTAGACTTGTGAATTGACTTTGAGAGTAAGGCTGCATCCGAATCAGCTGTTAAGAGCTAGGTCTAGGTCTGCGCCCATTGAAAACATGCAGTGACGCGATGACAATAGACGTAGCCGCAGCTCTGGAAGCCCGTTTCGGACACAGCTTTACTTGTGATTAGACACGGGATGGACTCGTCTGCAATGTTGTTACTCACGGCGATGTGAGGTCGTGCGTGACGAAATCGGAACTCTTGAGTAACAGAAAGATGTCATTGACACAGGAACACTGTAAGGTGTTTCCACAGGCCATCCAGGATGCATCCTGACGACAAAAAATCAAACCAGATAACAAATTACAAGAGTACGCAAGCCTATGGGCTCCGTGTGCCTACAAAAGAGGGCTTGTTTTTTCACTTTTGAGAGCCCTTGGACGGGACACCACGTGTGCGTTATCGCGTGCAAAGTACACACGACTTATACATCCTGAATGTGCAGAGAGGAAAGCCATAGCGTCTTGCGCGTGAGCGTCAGGCGTCGTCGGCGCGTGAATACATTCAAATTTAATTTGCGATGGTCTCCCAGACTAATCCCCGCCCCCAATAACTTAGGACCATTGGAAGTATGCAGTGGATGGACCGGGAACCAGTCTAGGTCTCCCCCAACTCTCCTTTTCTGGCCTTTGATGGGGTATTTGTGAACGGAGCCCATAGTAAAGCTGGGCCCCATTTCAAAACGCTGCTAACCAGAGAATTCCGCACTTACAATCACCATTTTGTGCTAAACGCACTAGCAGAAACATTCTGTGCTAACCCTGTAAGCACAGAATCCTTATAGTTGCAGATGTACCCATGTGCAAGAGCCAAAATTCCTCGCTAACCTGTGAAATACAATTACTTGTAAGCACAGAATTTTCTGCTACAGTAAGCAGGGATTTTTCGCTAATGGTAAATAAGCAGAGCCATGAAAATGGGCCCTGGTCCCAGATAATATAGTCTAAGTTCTATTTAGAATGGCTATTCACTGGAAGTCTTTTCATGCATATGGTCTACGCAATGGGCCAGATTCAGCCCATTGGTTATCCTATACAATAGCACTGCCCGGCGCTCTTCACCAGCCTACAAGCAGTCTAAGTCACAAGTAACAGTCAGTAAGTCAGTGAGATATGTTCACTAGGCTGACCCTCCATGACAGAGCCAAGTGCTGATTCTAATGAATGATTCAGAGCAATGATCCAAAACTCCTAGTCTGTAATCGCCTTGACCATTACTAGATGATGGATGTACAAGATTTGAAAAATAATTTTCAGGTATATTCACTGAGGTCTTAAAAGCTGTCATGGGCAGTACTAAAAGCTGGCATTGCACATTAACAGACTCTTGGAAATGGAAAATCAGTGGCTCTACAAAAGAACTTTTAGTCCACATATCAGGAGAGAGTCCACTCATTTCTTTTTTCTGAGGACAATTTCAACCTTGTGCCTCACCCTAGGTGCGCTCCAGTTGAGCTTGGGGAAAACCCTGCCGCCGAGGTTGTGAATGGCCGTCCTGATGGACTCTTCCAGCCCTGGGAAGGAGGGTATCCTACTCTGCGCATCTTCATCATCTTCATCAATGATGTCGCTGGTTTCATCTGTGGGACTGAGGTTGTATAAAAAAAAGAAAACCTGCTTTGTGAAATGAGCTACATGTGGTTCCTCCACCAGGGGTAAATGAGCCAAGATGATAATTCACTCCCTCACTTCTCCTTAATTAATGCAGGTTTCTTAGATTTAAAACACGTCATGCGGTCCTAGTCCAATAGACCATTATCATCTTGTGGCCATCAGTTAATAAGATGGGAGTTTTGCGTTGGGGTGATATATATCAAATTTATGGTGGCCCTGAAGGGACATCGCATATCGCAAACGTGTGCGCACACGTGTGCGATGTCGCAAAATTTATCGCGAATGTGTGCGCACACGTATGCAATGTCGTGAAACAATTCGCGAATATGTGCGCACACGAATGCGATGTCGCGAAATTTATCGCGAATATGTGCACACACGTATGCGATGTCGTGAAATTTATCGCGAATATGTGCGCACACGTATGCGATGTCGTGAAATTTATCGCAAATATGTGCGCACACGTATGCGATGTCGTGAAATTTATCGCGAATATGTGCGCACACGTATGCAATGTCGTGAAACAATTCGCGAATATGTGCGCACACGTATGCGATGTCGCGAAATTTATCGCGAATATGTGCGCACACGTATGCGATGTCGTGAAATTTATCGTGAATATATGCGCACACGTACGCGATGTCGTGAAACAATTCGCGAATATGTGCGCACACGTATGCGATTTTGTTTGCAATGTCGTGAATTTTATTGCATACCTTTGTCGCATACCTTTGGGGTGATGTCATTTTTGCGGGCAATTTGTTAGTGACCTAGGGAGTACGCAAGTGGCCCTGGTCCCATTTTGTATACCCAAGATACTTCAAGGCAGGAGCTTGGGTACCAGGCAGTTACATTTCAGCGTGGCCAAGGTCATACCAAACTAAACTTAGCCGCGTTATGGGCCCAAAACCTAGCCGCGTTCTTAGCCGCGTTCTTAGCCGCGTTCTCAACCGCGGTATCAAAATCTCAAACACATAGAGTAAAAGGTGGTTGCCTCTCTGTTTGTAGTGAAAGGATTTCTTGGACTTTCCCAACGAAATGTTAAAGTTATACAATAAATGTACTATTTTTTATGCTTTCATCTAACCGAACCTTCTATTGGGCACATCATATTTTGGAGGGGGCCAATTCGGTCCACTAATTAGCTGTTAATTAAGGCCCTAATGAGGAGTCTCCATTTTCCACTCTAAAAGTGCACAAAAGGGAATGCTGCTGACCTATAACACCCCTTTAAAACAAAATGTACCCCACATAGTTTTATAAATTTGAATTTTTATTGCATAATCCATTTCATCCATCTACTGGGAAGATCAAATTTTGGAGGGGGCCAATTCGGTCCACTAATTAGCTGTTATTTAAGGCCCTATCGAGGAGTCTCCATTTTCCACTCTAAAAGTGCACAAAACTGAATGCTGATGACCTATAACACCCCTTTAAAACAAAATGTACCCCACATAGTTTTATAAATTTGAATTTTTATTGCATAATCCATTTCATCCATCTACTGGGAAGATCAAATTTTGGAGGGGGCCAATTCGGTCCACTAATTAGCTGTTAATTAAGGCCCTAATCAGGAGTCTCCATTTTCCACTCTAAAAGTGCACAAAAGGGAGTGCTGCTGACCTATAACACCCCTTTAAAACAAAATGTACCCAACATAGTTTTATAAATTTGAATTTTTATTGCATAATCCATTTCATCCATCTACTGGGAAGATCAAGTAATTTTATCTAGGTGGTATTATTAGCAGTTCGCAGCAGTTCATTTATCATTAATAGAACGTGCAGTTCATGTACAAATTGATCGCAACACCTGCAAATCATGGCAATTTAAATTTGCGTGCGCATATTTATTGGCTGAAATATGACACCACGTGAGTTTCAAACTTGCGCGCGCAAATTTCAAAGTTGCGCAAGTAGCAAGTTTGTGCCAGACAGGTTTATTAGTCAGACCCTATTTATATCTAACAGTACGTCTAGATTCCAGACTAGCTGCTACAACTCCCCAGTTCATTAGGAATTTTACTGAAAGGTATGCGACAAGGTATGCAATAAAATTCACGACATTGCAAACAAATTCGCATACGTGTGCGCACATATTCGCGATAAATTTCACGACATCGCATACGTGTGCGCATATATTCGCGATAAATTTCGCAACATCGCATACGTGTGCGCACATATTCGCGATAAATTTCGCGACATCGCATACGTGTGCGCACATATTCGCGATAAATTTTGCGACATCGCATACGTGTGCGCACATATTCGCGATAAATTTTGCAACATCGCATACGTGTGCGCACATATTCGCGAATTGTTTTACGACATTGCATACGTGTGCGCACATATTCGCGAATTGTTTCACGACATTGCATACGTGTGCGCACACATTCGCGATAAATTTCGCGACATCGCATACGTATGCGCACACGTTTGCGATATGCGATGTCCCTTCAGGGCCACCATACAAATTAGGTTTTGCCCTTCACCGACATATAAACACTGAAGGGCAAAACCTAATTTGATTTACATCACCCCGACACAAAATCCCATCTTATTAATAGTTAATGCAGTACCCGCTGCTATGTACATTAGATTCGAACCAGCCAACCGATCCCGTTAGCTCGGTGGTCGAGTGGTAAGACATCTGCACTAGAAAGCAGGAGGTCGTGGGTTCGAGTCCCACCCGAGTGATTTTTCCCAACTTTCACTCAGGAGGTAACACATTTGAGTATACAGTGTTTATACGTCGGTGAAGGGCAAAACCTAATTTCAAAAAAAAAAATTATCATTCAGTACTGTTATTGGATACAGGGAACATGACTGACATGGGGGCAGCACGATGAAGGTCTATAGACAAGATAGATGGCAAGCTGACAGGATGAGGATGACGTGGGTTTGTTCATCCAAATGTCTGTCCCACAATAAGCCTTTTCGCAATTTCAACGCGTGTGCGCATATTGTGATTCAATGCATTAGTTTCGAGAGATAAACAATTCGCCACACCTGTGCAAAATAATAGCGGGGTGCCAACGAAATCAAAGAAAAGTTCTTGTTTTGAAGTAAATGCGAAATGTTGATACTTTTGTACGTACAGCACCATGGTTTAAGATGTTTTATATGCTCCAACTTTTGTTGGACAAAAGGTTCTATCTTCTTTTTGATTAGATGAAACATTGCAGAATGCAGATTCAGTAACCACGTACCCCCCCCCCCCTTGACTTGTACTCATCTGCTTTGTTTTCCTCTCTTTGGGTGCATTCAATTAGCTCACCTGGAGCGACTTGGGTTAGCCCCGTGCCGTTCGCTTAGCTCTGCATCATTCTCAGGGCTCACCCGGGTCAGCCACCACTGACTCTGCTCGTGGAGCAGAGTCAGTGGTGGAAATACGTCACACGCATACGTTGTTTATTTCCAGAAACGGACAAATATGGCTGCTGGACAGCAGAAGTCTCAAGTGGACCCAAAAATCAACTTTATTTGAAGTCAAAAGGTAATTATTTCTTGAGTTCATTGCAACTTTAGAGGCTATAATTCCAGCCCAACTTTTTCGAGTTTTGCAAATGACTGAAAAGCAGTAAATCTCAAACTAAGACCCAATCCGAAACGGGCGTTTTGTCAGTGGCTACGGACATCACGTGAGGATGTTGATGGCCCGCAAATGAGCGTTCAATTAGCCTGGCTAACCCATCTGCCTTTAGCTGAGTCGATCCGGATGAGCTACTCGAACACACCCGTTATAAGTCACGCAGTTGAAATTGTGAAAAGGCCTATTCAATTCTTACACGAGATGTCAATTTAGGTTAAAAACGTTTGGGAGGTTTAAGACTACAGGAGTTCATTAGTTATACCTTGCTGGGAGGTATATTCCATCTGCATCTAAGTACTCCAAGAAACCCTTCGAAAGTGGGATGACAATGCTGTATTTGAGAAACAAATAAACAACAAATCAGGCCAGATTATGACAGGGTCAAGGTGTGAAAATCTACATACTGCAATAAATCACACAGATCATTGTCATAACTATTTTTGAAAAAGAGTCAACTTATAAATGTCAGTGTTGAAAATAATTTTAAGCGGTAAAATTAAAATGCCTTGTACCCTAATTGATGAAACACACTCCAAAATTAACACCAAAAACATTAACAAAATTTTTGATACCAACATCAATTTTCCACTTTTAACCAGTTCATGTTGGATGACGTGTGTACACGCAAAGGTTTTGCGGTATAAGTTACGGATGACGGATAACGAGCGAGGTCGGAAACATCAGGGTGTGCTACCCGCAGATGATGGCCTGAACCCGCCTGGCATCGAGGTTCGTGAAAACCAATCCTGCGGCTGGGTCCAGTCAATGTGAAAATAATTCCAGCACGAAGTGGTTAAGGACCAAGTCCAAACATTTTCACCTCTAAAATGAAGGGGAAAATGAGAAAACCAATTTCCCCTTTCTAAATTCTATATTCTCTTTTAAAAATTGCTCTGAAATTGAATTAATTTGGATGCTGGTGTTTTTACCTGTCGATAGTGAGGTGTTTGAAGATGGGGTACCAGGCAGAGAAGCTGCAATTTAGCACCTGTTGTTTCTTCATGGCTGAGCATTGGATGTCAACTGATGATACAATGCTTGACGTCCACGTCTGTCATAATTGCTACTCAAATCTGTAAAGAAGTTGCGATGAGTTCAATCAAAACCATTCAGATTTGTAATGGATGCTGGGGGGGGGGGGGGGGGGGGGGAGGGGGGGGGGGGCTTGTGCTGTGAAGTTACGGCCCCTCTTCCTGATCATCTTTAACACTTATTTTCTGATCTTACGGATCCTAGCAGCCTGGGATCTTAAGTGCTTAAATGATGCAAAAGAAGATCAGGTGGCACAATTGCAGAATACCCAGCCACTCAATCTATGCACCTCGTAGCCGGCTACGAGGTCACGGTTGATTGCCCTCAATAAACCTTCTCAGCGCTACTTGCATGTACTATGCGTCCTGCTCCACTGCACTCCCACTCCGTAGCCGCGTAGCCGCCAACAGGGTAGTTGGTTTGGACTTAGAATTTTTTCAGCAACTCCCATTCCTTTTGTGTTGCTTCGTTCTCAAGCATATTCAAGGGGACTCCCACTCCGTAGCCGCGTAGCCGCCAACAGGGTAGTTGGTTCCGTAGCCTCGTAGCCGCCAACAGGGTGGTTGGTTTGGACTTAGAATTTTTTCAGCAACTCCCATTCCTTTTGTGTTGCTTCGTTCTCAAGCATATTCAAGGGGACTCCCACTCATAAGCCGCGTAGCCGCCAACAGGGTAGTTGGTTTGGACTTAGAATTTTTTCAGCAACTCCCATTCCTTTTGTGTTGCTTCATTCTCAAGCATATCAAGGGGACTCCCACTCTGTATCCGCGTAGCCGCCAACAGGGTGGTTGGTTTGGACTTACAATTTTTCAGCAACTCCCATTCCTTTTGTGTTGCTTGGTTCTCAAATACATGTAATGGACCCCAATTCAGTATCCACGTAGCTGGCATACGGACTTGAATCGCTTAATTTCCAGTGATTCCAACCTCATAGCGAGAAAATTTAGGGGTGTTCCGAGTGGTGGGGTATTCTGCAATTACTCCAATCAGGCCAACTTTACTCACTCTTTTATTTCTCCAAAAGTTTCACTGGGCAAAGAAAAGGGCCTCAGTATTTCATCAACCAAGTTTGAAGACTCAATTCTATTTTTAAAGGAGACATTTTTCAATATTTGGCAGTGGCTTGCACATGAGAGGGAAGTCAAGTGATTTCAAAATGAGGCTAAAGACTAGACTTGTACATGGTAATCCATGGTCCAACTGTAAGGGACTGGTCAGGGTGAGTGTGCTGTTCACTCAAACTTCAAAGCATAACATTTATATAAACGCCGTCTGATATGATAATGCATCAGCTGGAGTTATAATCAAGCCAAGGGCGCTACCATTGCATTGGGAGAAAATTCTCAATTATTTCAAACCTCCAGACTCTCCTCCCACAAAATGTTTGGCCCCAGTATTTCACAGGCATTATTTTGACATGGTTAGGTACATCTACGGGGTTCAGATCTCTGAAATGTCAAACAAAAACGTGAAATTTACTAGAATTTCGCTCACCAAGCATGCCAAGAAGCAAGATCGCAGAAAGTTTACTCTGTGTGGCATAGGACTAGCGCCCTCAGTTGACAGCTATAAACGACAACAGAAATTTTGTGCCGGTGTCATATAAAAATCCGACTCCTATGAAAATCGCACTCCTTTTTCCCCCCTTTTTTTTTTGTTAATCAATTGCATGTGACAGGTCACTCTCTCAATATCATCCTTAAAATAGCATAATATGATACCGAGTCCATAATTTCATGGAGTCGAAAATCCACGCTACACCTGTCACTTTAACAGCGCCCTCTAAAAAGTGGCGTTTCTGAAATTTCGGGCTAGCCTCGGCTCGGAGTTATGACTGTAATCATTTCGACAGCTAATTACACATCCAATCCAAGCATAGCAACTGTAACATTTGGACTGTCAACAAATATTTAATGTATTCAAAGCAGAACAAAGACCCATACCTGTATATCGCGAAAGTGACAAATACCATCAATGGAAGTGGAAGCCTCATTTCAAACGAATCCGATGTTTGCAAAAAATCCAAAGGCACATGTATGCGCATCACTGTCCACTGCCCACACGCGCACAGGTGTTGCTGTTTTGTGAGAGGCATGCGAAATGAATGGGATCTGCGCTACCAACAGATTACGATTACAATGGAATATCATGCTGAGCTGAAGCCCGCCATTTTTTAAAGTTGTCTCGCCGTACGTGCACTGTCGCTGGAGCTGTTGTCATGGTTGTTTTCTGCTGACCGGTGAGGTGGTTATGTCCGCCGTCGACCCAGTTTTAAAAACCTTAAAAACTGCAAGCCGGTCGTGAGTATTTAGCACTGAGGAAAAGAATCGTATACCGACATGACCAAGGTTGTGATCATGGTGATGTGAATTCACAAAGCCCGGTATTCTCAATTGCATGCAAGGCATTACCAATCCTGTTGCGTAAACTGGGCGATCGTGTATTCATAAGGTGTAGTGTAGGGCCCCTGTTTGTTTCTATCAAATTAGATTCAAGATTTTTTTTTGTTACTCAAAACTGACATTGTTTATGTCAGCCTAAAGCAGACTTCTCTCAAATGCAATGACACCATTTTGATATTTTTAAACAGTTTCTTGGGGTAGCAATTATGATTTTCCTACGTAGTTTACTGTCCGGTTGGGGCCATGCAGCGCGACTGGTGCATTCACAATATATCACATGGTGATCGCCATCTGCATTTTTGTCGTCATAGTCATTTTACCTCAAAATTTCCCTCGAAAATTCAAAACCCTGCCCTCTATCTATGACGTACCTGTACATATATTTTTAATGTCGCCAACTAGCATGACTAGTTTGGTAGGTCAAAAATTTTAAGTGGGTTTTGTTCCCTTAGGAACTGGGCCCATAGATACGCAATCGCCATTAACTGTAGATCTAAGATTTCCAAACTTAAGGCTATATAGGTGTTTAAACATTTTGGATGTTGAGCATGTTGAGGAAGTGACTTGCAAGTGGTTACTCACATACGACACAATAAGTGCATTTTATTCATGAATGTTGAATCTCCAACATATTTAATGGCCTGATCAAAGATTAATCTGATAATTGAACAATTATTATACCAAAAATAGGGCTGATGGCTTTCATGGACTTACTTGCAACATATCTCTCTCTGTAATGTTAGTCTCTATAGGGAGGGTGAAATAATGTCTAAAGGAAATAATGCTGGGTTTCCTTGTTTTTTAATAGGGCCCTAGGAAATATTGATGGTTCATATAAAACCTCCACTGAAAAAAACATCCTTGGTTTGAATTCTTCTCCACTATCATGAAAAGATTATAACAAGACATGTTAATTTTATGGAAGAAAAAAAAAAAATTCTCTCTATTGAGGAAACCTGGTTTTGTTTAAGACATATTTTTTTTATGGATGATGTGTTATTGCATAGTTGAGACAACATGTCCATCATTTTTTAATTTCAAAGTTTGAAGAATAGGCCTAAGGTAGGGAGTCAACACTGATACCAACAAAGCTATAATTCCTGATTATTTGATTCGCTTCATGTTTTTACATCAATTGACAAATAAGAAGAGTTGCAGGCCAACGTGGAACCTGTTATCTTTTAAAATAAGGAATGCTTCCTAGGCCGTCTGAAGTATTTTTCAGTTGTGGCCATATATTTAATAAGAACTCGAATGGAGTGTACATGCAGGAACAAATTCAGGATAAACATTTCCAGGATTCTGGATAAAAATAAACCCACAAATGATTTTAGTAAGGTTGATGCAATGGCCAGTTGTTCTGATATGTTAATTTTATCACTTTCAATTTCCACTCCCTTTTTGTCTTGTTTTTTTTTTATCATGCTTTTATATGATCAGCTTGGATGTTTGTTTTTTTAGTTTTAGTGAATTTTTAAAACTTGTTTTTTTTTATAACTTATTCTTTTTGTTGTTTTTTTTGTCTTGTCTTTGTTTATATTTTGTGAGGGCCCCAAATGGTCAGCTTCTGCTGGATGGGTTACCTTCATTAAAGATGGTTTCAAATAAATAATCAATGAAAGTGCTGTTCACTATGGGGTGTCAATGGGTACAATGAATTATTGAAAGTAAGCTGAAACAAGAAGCAGAGGTGAAAACAAACAAAAATCCTCTTTGACAAAAGATGTTATCGTAAATGTAATTTAGCCAATTAAACTTTGCACATTAATTTACTTGTGCTTTTAACAAATTCAATAAATATAAAAAAAAATTTGATATCAAAAAAGTTATTTCATCCTTTGCAGGCTGAGTGTCTATATTAAACTGAAATCCACAGGCAAAAGGGGAACTATGTATTGGTGGAGTGAGGAAATTGATGTGACCAAATTTACACTTTTAAACTTTTAAAATGATAAAAAATTCTAAATCCATCTGCAAATTTTTCCAAAACAGTACTTGATTACATTCAGGCTACAAAAAAAAGTTGATCTTTTTAATGATTTCAATGACGGCCCTCTTTTTATTGTGTTACTCTTTTTTATTGTGTCGACCACGTTGGTCTGTACAATGGGCAGTCGTCAGTCTTTGTGAAATGGCTAAACATTGATTGAAGTGGTTCTTAAAATTTGCTAAACATTTTTGGAAATAAAATGTCACGTCCTTAGAAGACATTGGAGGAGGAGGTCTACGAAATTGGAGGAGGAAGGGAATCGGAGGTCTGTGGATGTTTGAGCTACTACGTACATGTAGAGGGTAACAGATGTCTCTGATGGTGATGCTGAAGTTTTGTGGAACTATCGTCTGTTTGCTGACCTTCATTGCTTGACGGACAGAGCATGGATGTAGCTGCTTGATACTCATGATGATGGTGTCCCTTTTGGTGAGTGCTGGACTTTCACTGATTTCCTGTAATTCTCCCCATCTGCCATGTGCTCTGTGTTTGTGCTGTCTGGCGTTGAGTTCTCTTGCTGGTGTACCCAGTGTACACCTTCTGCATTCGCAGGGGATGCATCAGGTTCGGTCTTGGAGGCTTGCTTGTCCTGTGGGCTATTGTGGATCTTGTGGGTGTGGAAAGCCCGGATACCTTTGTCATTTAGGAAGTACTGGATGTGATGAGAACTGCCTTTGTTGGGCTGTGTAATAGGCGGGGTGAGCTTAGTGGGTTCGACCTTGGGTGTAGGGGACCCTTTGGTAGGTAAAAGACTTTGGATCTTGCGTCTTGACTTGATGAGCCTTGAATCTGTTGTGTTGTAGTGCCGTCTTGACACGGTAAAGTTGTTGCCGGCCAGGATTGTGGTTGCCGATGCAGGCTTCCCAGACAAGGTAGCTCTTTGACTGATGTTTGGATTTCCGGGTGCAGGAAGGATTGGTTGTCGATGTTGCCAGTCAATGTCTGTCGGTCATCTCTAATAGACTCAGGGGTCGAGGGTGTTGTCAGACTGTTTTGAGACCTTAGCATCCAGGGATGAGATTCACGAGGCGCCTGATCCTTGCTGCACCAGATGCTGCTGTATATCCAGTTGAAGTCTTTCAGGACCTGCTGGAGGTCCCATGCTGCATGATGAAGCGATGAGAGTCTCATCCGTGTACTGAAGACAAACTCTTGGTCTCAGATCTACGAAGGCAGTACTCCTATATGAAGGCATTGACTAAAACTGGGGATAGAGTTGATCCTGTGGAAGTTCCAGAAGGCTGCTTGGACAACTGGCTGTTCACTGGAAGAAAGACAGCAGGATGTAGGTGGGTCGGAGATCATGAACCTGGTTTGGAGTGTGGGGATTCATATTTCTGCAGGGCGTAGTCAAGTCGGAGTCCCCCTTGGCACCGAGGCATGCTTAGCCTGTGGGGATGGCAGTGAATATCTGGTAGCCTTCATCGGGGTTGACCATGGTGTCGTTGGGAACACTGTGAGGTTGCGCTCATGGTGTCATTGGGATCATCACCCCCACCATCACCTTCACCTTCACCCTCACCACCCCCCCCCCCACCGGCGGCCGCCACCACCCCCCTCACCCTCACCACCACCACCCCCTCACCCTCACCACCACCACCCCCTCACCCTCACCACCACCACCATCACCATCACCATCATGCTGCTGCTGCTGCTGCTGCTGCTGCTGCTGCTGCTGCTGCTGCTGCTGCTGCGAACACCACTTGTGATCCCAACAAAGCCATGTGCAGCTTCAGTGGAGACTCCAGGTATTCATCACCAATCCCATGGGGGAGGCATGTCTCACGGTCTCGGTCAGGAAACCTTCATGAAGACAAGCTGCGTGAGTGTGAAGCCCTCTCTCTGGATTAGGTTTGTGATCTCCTACCCATCTACATCCTGCCGTCCTTCATCCAGTGGACAGGTCAATTCTTCAAGCAGTCAGCTGGAACATCCACAGGATTAACCCCATCTCCAGTTCTGGCCAATATCATCATGTAGTTTTGTACTGCTTTCGTGGATTTGAGAGCAACTAGTTTATCTTCAGTTTGTGGATGACACTTTCATCGTCTTATCACACAGCACAGTACCTCCAGCAGTTCCTGAGACACTTCAACTGGTTCACACACAGCAGCATCTGGCTCACCTTGGATCGAATCTTCTTCCTGGATATTGAGGTCTCCAGGCAGTCTGGTAGTACCCTCAGCCTTTTTGTCCAT